TGGATCAGACCTGGACTTTCGAGTCGTTGTCTTGCTGCTTGAGCTTCAGCTGTACGACAAACTGCCAAAGCTGCCGTCCACATCTGACTGCAAAAGCGTCAGAGTAGGGATGCATCGATACCGATACTGGTATCAGGTATCGGCCTAATACTGTGCTCGTTTACTCGACCTCATAAAAATGCCCTGATACCAGCATCTGATACCAGCTGGTACTGTGTGATGTAAGCAGAGTGTAGCTGCCACGCTAATGAACAGTCGCAGTGAAGGAGCTTCAGATCATCGATGACCAGACGTTCTCCTGCAGGATCATCTGTTGGAGAACAGGATTCATGGTTTAAGTCACCCAAGACTTAAAGCAGCAGAGCATCCCTTCACCATCACACTACCACCACCATGCTGAATGCTGTGATAGCTTTATTCCAGATGCATCAGGACGCCTGTCTTCCAAAAAGTTCCACCTTCAACTTCTCAGGCCACAGAACATTCCAAAAGGCTTGAGAGGCATTTTGACACATGTGAGATGAAAATTCATGCTCCTCTCAGTTAGCTCTCCATTGGGTGTCCATTGGGTGGCTTATTTGTCCTACAGTCTCTTGATGGGATAATCAACGCTGACCTTATCTGAGGTGAGGAAGGCCTGCAGTTGCTCAGAGGTTTTTGAAGGAATTTTAGGCTGCTGGCCACTTCTGGGAAGATTCACCACAGTTCCAAGTGTTCTACTTTATAATGGCTCTCACTGAGGTTCTCTGGAGTCTCAGAGCATCAGGAACAGATTTGTTCCAGACTGATACATTTCATTAACTTTCTCATCTGTTTGAAGTTTCCTGGTGCAGTGTGCTGCTGGTTGAGACCGTTTAGCCTTTTTCACACTGCTGGAAAGTTCTGTTTAACCTGTTAACTGTCACCCCAGTATTGCCTGAAACAGCATACCCAAAATAAAGGGGGCGCTGTTCCCACATACTTTGGGCCACAGTCATGATCTTGGTCTCATTTGAATGGAAACAACTGTCTAGAACAGAGGAGTTTATTTCCTCCTGACTCATAGATCTCTAAACTGATCTCTGACTCTTGTCGTGTTATCAGACCATGTTTTGGATTATGGTGTCTCTGTTGAGGCGGCGAGGCTCTGAAGGTGAGGACACACAGATTTGCTGCCGTTTGCTCATAACGGATCATAAAATGGTTTGTGGGAATCGAATCCTGAGATTTCAAGCTTTCTAACAGTGTCAGTGCATCATAGCATTGCTGGACGGTGTGATGCTTTAAAATGATGTATAAAAAAAAGAACGCTTCGATGGAAAGGTGCTGGTACCAGTATAGTGAAGTCTAGATTCAGCAAGGCTGGCAGTAATCAAGCCTGGGTGTGCCTAGTTTAATTGATCCCAATTATCAACTAAATTGATTAATTAACTGCTTTTCCACACAGGTCAGCTGATTCTGAATAACATTTTCCTTCAGTAAATGAAAGCATCGTTTAAAAACTGAGCAGTTTACTCAGGTTGCCTTTGTCTTGCTTTGAGTTTCATTTGAAAACTGAAACAATAAGGTGTGACCAATACGCAAAAAACAGAAGAAATCAGGACTGGGTAAACACTTCTTCACAGCCCTCTACCTTACTCTGCTTCACCGTAGAGGAGTGGATGTAAATATATAGACTCTCACGTCGTCAGAGAAGGAAAAGTCCTAAAAAAGACGTCTATTTACAGAGATCTGACGTGAAGGAACTGAACTATGGACAGTGCAGTGGACATTGGAAGGGATTACTGATTCTGGACCTATTTTAGCTCCTTGCCTATAACTGATAACAGCCATACGACAAACTGCCAAAGACACCTTCCACATCTGACTGCAGAGACATCAGGGATGCATCGATGCCGGTACTGGTGTCAGATATCGCCCCAAAACTCGTTTACTCCAAAACATATAAACGTATCGGTATCAACATCTAATACCAGCTGATACGGTGTGCCGTAAGCCGAATGTAGCTGCTGTGCTAATGAGCAAACGCAGTGAAGGAGAAACATTGAGGCCACAGCCAACCAGAGCGCTGCTATAGAATGCCAGTAGCCCAAAAACACCAGGTACAAGTTCATTTTTACACTCTACTCATATAAATTGATTGAAATTGAGTGTTGAGCATCGTTCATCATGCTTGGTGTCCATTTACTACCTCTACACTGACTGTTTTCAGGCTGAAAGATAAAAGCTGAAAAGTCTCAGACAGTAACGTTAGCTGAGGTAACTTACCGTTAGCATCTGGCTGCCTTTCTTTGTGTAAATTTCAAGCCACATGTGATCTACTGTGGCTTTTTGCGCTCCCCATAGCAGGAGCGTTTCCCGTAGCAGGTCAGTCAGACGGAGCGTTTCGTACAGTGTGAGTTTATAAATCGTAGCTTTGTCTGAACACGATGGTCTATTCAAACGGACAGTGAGAGTCACCAAAGAACAAGATCTCTAACATCACACAGTGTCTGTCTGGCTTTAGAGGGCATACAGCTACGGCTTAACCAGCCAATCAAACGACTCCAACAAGACGGAAAACTGGAAGCGTGAGCTCCTCGGATGCGTCAGCCTCGGATGTGATTCCTGCTGTCGCTGTGCTGCTGCTGAAAGAGACAGATGAGGATCAAAACTATGAAACCTACTTTACTTACAGCTGTACAGAAGAGCTTTTCTGACGGGGAACTAAACCTCCACTGCAGCGCTGCTCGATCAGAGATCACTGATGCAGCAGAGATAGATAACGACCTTCATTAACATCATAGACTTAATGATTTAACCATTAAGGTACATCACACTCATTTACACTGACGGCTGCTTCACTGGAAGAAGTTTATCGGACTTGGTATCGAGTACTAAACGACATTAAATTTTAAATTTGAAGAACCGAACTTGTAATCGCTCTGAAAAACATGGTATCGATGCATCCCTAGAGTGGCACTGACTCAAAGTCTGTATAGAAAAACTGTTTATTTCTGTGGAAGATCGTCTGTGTTTCACATTAGCAGATCTTTAACTGTCCTATCACGCTTCATCGCCACAGTATTTTACGGCTTTCTTAGTGTCGCGTTGAACACGAACCACTCTGAAAACGGCAAACGTTGGTCTGCGCTGGAGAATGTGAATCATACCGGTTATTTGCACAATTTGACACCGTCCCGACTGAAGGTCTTCACCATGGACAGCTGGACCGTCACTATGAAGAAGACCCAGCGGAGAGCAATACACACCATCTAGTCCGACTGATTCTAGATCTGATCTAGAAGGAGCCGATGGAATGCCTTTCTGTTCAAAATAAACCAGTACAATAAACAAGTTTAAAAAGTGAACCGAGTCCGTTTCATGTTCTTGCTTGCTTTCAATCGTTTGCTTATTTATTTATTCAGCTTCACAACTTTAAAGCAAAATTCTTAAAGTTGTAAATGTTTTTGAGGCCCAATTAACGTGAGAAGCTGATGTTATGATGCTAATGTATGTACAGTAACTTCAACCATTGATAGTGTTTTTAACAGCATTGGTGATTTTGTGATTGATTTGTGATTGATTATTGTGTTGTTGATGTTGCGTACGTTCGATACGTGGACAGGTTGCGATTTCCATTTCATTTTTTTAAAAATAATTTGAACATGCTGTTAACCGTTTGATGCACAAGCTATGCAAACCGCTTCTAAGACACAACATGGGTCAGAAATGACTCGTATTTATTTCCTGTGTTATTTCATGCATGGCTGAGTGTTTCTTATCTTTTGAAATCAGTTTATTTCATCATTTAATATTCCAAGTGTTTCTCATAATATGAACAAACAGTTTTTGTATCAAAAAGTTTACACAGTTGAACTACTTAATGTAGTAATATAAAAATGATTTTTGTTCATAAAGTAAAAAAAGACAAATGAAAAATGGAAATTGAAAACAAAATATTTATTAATACCTGGAATATTAAATGGTAAATTTATTTCAAAGATATAGCAAAGAAACAGTCATGCATTAAATAACGTAGGAAAAGTCCTTTTGACCCATGTTGGGCATTAGAAGGGTACTGATGCAAAAAAAGAAAGAAAAAAAAAACAAAATAAGGATTTGTGAGGATCGAAAACAAGTTAATTAAGGAATTCATGAAATCCTGAATGATAAAATTACATTTATTCCAAAGATACAGAAAATAAAAACTCTGCTTACTCTAATCTGTGAATTTTGACAGCAACTGAACCAAACGGTGATCAGCACAGATTCCCTTCAGTCCCCTTTTGCAGATTAATATGAAGCGCAGTGAGTTAATTATTTCTAGATCACAGTCAGGGTTTTTATAAACACTGAAAAAGTGGTTCTTTAGGGGTTCTTTATTGAAGAAAATGGTTCTATATAGAACCGTGAGCACTCAAAAACCCCTTTGCATGATTAAAGGTTTCTCTTCATGCTGCAGTGGTTCTCTGCATGGTGAAATGGTTCTTCAGACTGATGGAGAATGTGCTGTATATGGTTCTGTATAGCGCCAAAAAAGGTTCTTCTATTCTTACGATGTCAAGCTTGTAACAGTAGCAGAACCCTTTTTAGAAAGGTTCTGTACAGAACCATATACAACACATTCTCCATCAGTCTGAAGAACTATTTCACCATGCAGAGAACCATTAAAGCATGCAAACGGTTCTTTGAGTGTTCGTGGTTCTATATAGATTATATATATATTTTCTTTATTAAATAAACCTTTAAAGAACCGTCTCGTGGTTTTTACATTTTTATTCGTTTTTATTTTTATTTAGTTTTTCATTTTGTTTTTTTAGTTTTGAAAAATTGCCCTTTAAGTCCCTCCTATTTGGAGTTGACCAGTAGAGGGTGCAGGTGAGCTCCACGCTGATCCCTAATTGATGAACAGGTGTGACCTGCAGGAGCGTCAGAGCAGCATTCAGTCATTAGTGAGCTGGAGTCACTGAGATCTGAGGAGCTCGCGGGTTGGTCATGTTCGATAAGCTGAAGAAGAAGAAGGACGGTGTGAAGAGTGGACGTGTGGACATGTTCAGACACAGCGCGGTCAGGAGGAGACCTGGAGATGGACATGCTTTACCTGAACTGCTCTCAGGTGAGTTCACAGGTGAAGGTGTGAGACTCTGGTTCTGTTTTGATTGTGTTTTACTACAGAACCGCAGCAGGGTCAGATAAGAACCTCTTACAGGACAAGACTCCTCCTCCAGAGGGCGCTGTGTGAACTGCATGCCAAAATATTGACTTAATATCCCCAATAATGACTTATTTGCTTGAAGTGTTAACTTATTTCGAAGTAAGGACTTTGTCAAGATTTTGAGATACTGTGTTAAAATCTCAGGATAATTCGTCATTATAAGATACCAAAACGTTATTCTGACACGTGAGTCGTTTGAGAAAATCGTTATTCTGACATAGTTAACCAGTTTTTATTTTGAAATATAATGTTTCAAGAGAATAAATCAATAATTAAAGGAAATGTTAAACATTTCCAGAAAATTCACTATTTCAAGAAAATGATTCAATATTTTGGGAAAATGTCAATTTGAGATGTGATCAAGAAAATAAACTGATATTTTAAGAAAATAAGTCAATATTTCAAGAAAAGCCAACATCTTGAGAAAATGTAATTATTTCAAGATACTAATCCGTTGTTTTAACAAACTGCTGCTGAAATGGAAGAGAAAAAGGCACCAGTGAGAAAATCCTCCTCAATCTGCTGGAATTCCCTCCACAGTGTCCTGTTTCAGTGTTGGTTTAAACGTCTCTGTAAAGGTGAAGTTTAAACTCTGAAAACCCCAAACAGTGACAGATCTGACTGAGCTGCTGTTTCACTTCCACAAACTCTCCTCCAGAGGGCAGCACTGTGTCTCTGGGCTCAGCAGTGTTTGAGCAGATTTGAGACTGTAATTCCTCAGATTGAACAGCACACGAGTGGCCTGATCTCAGCCTGATCTCGGCTTAATCTCAGCCTGATCTCGGCCTGATCTCGGCTTAATCTCAGCCTGATCTCTGCCTAATCTCGGCTTAATCTCAGCCTGATCTCTGCCTAATCTCGGCCTGATCTTGGCCTAATCTCAGCCTAATCTTGGCTTAATCTCTGCCTAATCTCGTCCTAATCTCAGCCTGATCCCTCACAATATTGCCTGTTTATCTTTTTGCTGAGGCTCTGAGGTTTTTAACGTTCTGTAGACGTTCATTTTCAACATTCCTCTGCTTCTCACGGCAGTTCAGTCTTTAATCTTGAGCTCAGAGTTATTGTTTTTATAAATCTGCTTGCTTCAAAACAAATCAGGCTTTTGGTCTGAGATTTTGCAGTTTTAGCACAGCATCAGACATGTGGGTCATTCTGTGCCAATCAGACATTACAGTTGGAGAGGCCATTAAAGAGGAATTTCCAGAACGTTCAGTTTGTTCAAACGTTAATGTTTTATTCTCTGTTCATTAAGTGTCTTTATAGCTGACAAATCAGACGCTTTTCCAGTCAAATTTAACGCTGACAAAGATCCGCTAGCTGTAGTGTTTAACTCGAGCCATCAGCCGGGTCTGTCGGCTTTTTTGGTGAGTCATCTTTAAGTACTGTGTTTATGAACTTTACCAAAAAACATAAACATTCATAAACCATTAAATGATGGATGGTAGAGCCACAGGTGGACAATCTGTCCGAAACCAGTGCTGTTCAAAGTCGGCCGTTTGATTTGATTTGACCCTTTGAAACCCCCCCCCCACACACACACACACCCCCCACTCAACAAGAGAACAAACATTATTTACTTTAAATTGATTATTAAAGTCTTATTGTACTTTTTAAACTGTGTCTTTGAAGTATTTTAGTAACAAAATGCAGCATAAAGTTCTAAAACACATTTTTAGACTCCGTCTGAAGTCTGTCTGTCTGTATGTCTGTCTGTCTGTCTGTCTGTCTGTCTGCTTTATTTGTTTATGTTGTCATTTTGGCCCCTCAGCCCACCATAAACATTCACATTGGCCTTAGGATTAAAAGTCTGGGCACCCCTGGCTTAAATACAACATTACTTCCCTGTCCCGTCTGTCCTGTCCTGTCCTTCCCTGTCCCATCTTGTCCTGTCCTGTCCTTCCCTGTCCTGTCCTCTCTTGTCCTGTCTGGTTATGTTACATTTTAATTGTGTAATTTATTACTCAGAAATGTGATTTTATGATAGGTTTTTGCTCTGCAAGACTAAATTATAGAATAAATTATAGAATAAATTATAGAATAATCTCTCTCTCTCTGTGTCTCTCTCACTCTCTCTCTCTCTCTCTCCCTCTCTGTGTGTGTCTCTCTCTCTCTCTCTCTCGTCTTTCTCTGTTTCTGTCTCTCGCTGTGTCTCTCTCTCTCTCTCTCTCTCTCTCGTCTCTCTCTGTGTCTCTCTCTCTCTCTCTCTCTCGTCTCTCTCTGTTTCTGTCTCTCGCTGTCTCTCTCTCTCTCTCTCTCTCTCTCTCTCTCGTCTCTCTCTGTGTCTCTCTCTCTCTCGTCTCTCTCTGTTTCTGTCTCTCGCTGTGTCTCTCTCTGTCTCTCTCTCTCTCTCTCTCTCTCTCTCTGTCTCTCTCTCGTCTCTCTCTGTTTCTGTCTCTCTCTCTCTCTCTCTCGTCTCTCTCTGTTTCTGTCTCTCTCTCTCTCTCTCTCGTCTCTCTCTGTTTCTGTCTCTCGCTGTGTCTCTCTCTCTCTCTCTCTCGTCTCTCTCTGTTTCTGTCTCTCGCTGTGTCTCTCTCTGTCTCTCTCCTGTCTCTCTCTGTTTCTCTCTCTCTCTCTCTCTCTCTCTCTCTCTCTCTCTCTCTCTCTCTCTCTGTGATGGGAGGGGGAGCTCTGTGAGTTGGTGTTCTCTGTGCTGTGTGTTCAGCGGTCAGTTCCGTCTTCATTCAGGGCTGAGGTGATGATGCGGAGCTCTCAGGTCAGTGTCTGTTTTCTGTGCTGATGTAGTGAAAACTGTGATTTCCTGCTGGAGATAAACAGTCAGACCTGAATGGGTTATTCAGCGTTTTATTGGTGGACATTTTACTTATTTACTTAATAATCATCCAGTGAAAACCTCCGCTCTCCTGCTGCTCTTTCAGCTGAACTGACCCTTAGTAACATCTTTAACTGCTGAAAAAACCATTAGAAACCTCTGATTAAACCCTTTCTAATGGGAGCCATTAAATGCATTTAGAACCGGCCACTGGTCACCTGTTAAACCGTTAGTGTCTTTTACAACCCATTAAACAAGACAAAACACATTACAAACCATCAGGAACCAACAGAAACAATGGTTTCTATGGGTTTTTCAGCAGGGTCTTCAGAGTCTTTCTCAGCTGAGTGGTGTTGAACGATGGAGTCTAACCTGCTTTTGTCTGAGCTGCTTGGTTGTTTTGTCTGAGTTGTTTGGTTGTTTTGTTTGAGCTATTTAATTGCTTTGTTTGAGCTGTTTGGTTGTTTTATTTGAGCTGTTTTCTGGTTTTGTCTGAGCTGTTTTGTCTGAGCTGTTTATTTTGTATGAGCTGTTTGTTTTGTTTGAGCTGTTTTGTCTGAGTTGTTTGGTTGTTTTGTTTGAGCTGTTTTGTCTGAGCTGTTTTCTGGTTTTGTTTGAGCCGTTTTCTGGTTTTGTCTGAGCTGTTTGTTTTGTATAAAGTGTTTGTTTGTTTTGTCTGAGCTGTTTGGTTGTTTGTTTTGTTTGAGCTGTTTTGTCTGAGTTGTTTGGTTGTTTTGTTTGAGCTGTTTTGGTTGTTTTTGTTTGAGCTGTTTGGTTGTTTTGTCTGAGTTGTTTGGTTGTTTTTGTTTGAGCTGTTTGGTTGTTTTGTCTGAGTTGTTTTGTTTGAGCTGTGTAGTTTTCAGTAGTACAGTAAAGGCCGGTGTGATTGTTTGCCGTTAGCTGAAACTGCCCCGCCCCCGGTTTCAGTTTTACATCTCATGATGCTGAGAGGATGTAGATTCACTCAGGAGCGTTGGGAATGGAGAAGTTCTCCACAGAGCCCTACAGAGAGAGGAGCTCTGCGATCGAGAAGTGAAGCGTCAGATTGAGGAAGTGTGCCGAGTTCGGAGCGTCGGCTCAGGGTCACACGCTGACGGCTGGTACGGTTATACGCCAGAGCTCTTATCAAAGAGGAAGAACGCAAACAGAGTTCTTTGTATTTCTCAGCCATGAGAAACAGGAGCAGCACAAGAGAACAGTAACGTCGTGAATCCTCTGCAGTGGCTGCTCTTCAGTTTGGCATGAACTCCTCTCTGTGTTCAACAGCCAAACACATCCCTCTCTCTCTTACAGTCCCTGACGTTCTTGCTATCAACCAACAAACTGCGAAGCACTAGCACGGCTGCGTCCCAAATCACAGTGTGTAAAAACAGTGCACCTTCAGAAGTGTGTTCATTAGCGCAGTATGTAAAGTGTGGAAGCGTGTGGTTTGGGACGCAGCCAAACCATTTAATCCTCTGATTGAAATTTTGAAATTTGGTTGAATAATGAGATTGTGATTTAGTTTAGATCCAAATAATGACTGATAACTAAAAAATAAGTTCCTACTCTTAAAGAAAGTGGTCATCAAGTCATGTTTTGAGAAAATATGATGTTAATTTAAAAAAACTGAGACAGTAAGTAATTATTTTGACTCTGATTGGAAACATGGGATGGGCGATTGTGGCAAAAATATCACAATATAAATATATAATATACAACATGAACCACATTTATTTGTTTTCTGAGTTTGATAAGTAGAAACAAACAAAAAAGATGATTGCATTTTAAAAATGGCTATAAAAACTATGACTACAGTGATTTTATTGAATGTATCACACACTGTACAGTGAAGCAGGACTAATTATGCTCTCTTTATGATGAAACGTGTAGTCAGTGTACTGACGATATCCACCATAAGCTCAGAAAGGCCTAAATATGCATCACAGTAAAGATGATGTATCTTCATAATGCTCACCTCTAGTTTAGAACTGGTGTGGTTTGTGAAACCTCTGTTAAATGTTACTGAGCACTGTCTGCCTGATGGAGATCTGTGGTCAGCATCAAACCAGGACTGACCTTTCAGTAACAGAAGCCACAACACAAACAAATTATTTTAGCCAGAGGTAACAGCCAAAGAGTTTCACAGCAGTTTGGGAAAGAAAGCAGTCTTTATTTAGACCAAAGCTGAGAGTAAAATAAACAGTCTGAGAAAACAGCAGCTTAAAAGACTGAAATGAACTGGTTCAGTTTTTTATTGTGTTCAATCAGCTCTGATTGGCTGTTTGTTTTCCTCACTTTCTTTACCGAACAGTCAACAGAAGTCTTTAACGTTTGGCAGGATTCTGGCGAAAGTGATTATTCTCAGGGAGCGGAAATCTAAAATTCCACCCTCATTCAAAATATGAGTCAGATGGGTTCCTCTATACACCTGGAGAAATTCTGATATATTAATACAGCTATATATTAGTATATACTGTATATTAAAACACCTGAATCAACTGTGGTAATCTGATGAATAATTTCCCTCCAAACTGTCAAAACTGTAATATTGATCTTGTTTTATATTGTTAATTACTGTTTTTTGTCTTAGGTTTTCGGTGTGGGTTGCTGCGCTTACAGTTTATCAGCTTTGACTTCTTCGTTCCTCTGTACTGTATTTTTATGGGGTTTATTCTGTACCTTTTGTCCAAAAATATCTTTTAAATCATCAAAAACTCTCAGGTCTTCTCTGTGTTTTCACTTCTTGTTTCACTCTGAGCTGAATCTGCTTTTGGCTCCTTTACAGTAAATGAGTTACCCGCTTTACTGGGTGTTTATTTGGCAAATCCACTCCAGATCTTTCCACTTTTCTCCTCTGATTACTCTTCATTACCGTCTGCACTGTGTTTGTGTTGCAGTTTCACACTTTAGATTTGGAGGCGTTTGATAATAAAACTCCCTCTGTGGATAAAATATCACCCAAAAACAAGACATAGAAGAATTTATTGGCTCTCACAAACGGATCCAGAGTTCCTGCAGCATCGTAAATTTAGAAATGTACTGACTGAGTTACAGTTTATTTGTATTCAGCTGGAAGGAAATCAGTTTAGTCTCTGTTGAGAAGATAAAGCAACAAAAACAGAATTTTCAGTAGAGCCATTTAATCATGCAAAAGGTTCTTTGAGTGTTCATGGTTCTATATAGGACCACTTTCTTTACTAAAGAACCCTTGAAGAACCAAGGTTAAATATTCTAAGTGTAGCTTATCTTATCTTATCTTCTCTTACCTTATCTCATCCCCCACCACCCCCACAACCTCTCCCCAGTGTCCTTTAGTGGGTTCTGTACTTTCAGGACAAACAGACCAACAGAACCAGCTGTTAGGAGGTAATGAGGCTCTGTTCTGGTTCTGGTTCTGTTCCGGATCTGTTCTGTTGAGGCTTGTTATTATTTATTATTAGTGGGTAACCTGCACATCTGTGAAAGCTCCATTAACCCTGAACTCATTTTAGATCTTTCCTTTTAACAGCACTTAATTATGTTTTGAGGACTGAAAATACAAACTGATCCAGATTCGAAAGCAGATTATTTTCCAAGTCTATTTTGCACACATTTTCACTGAGAGACCGTTCAGGGCCGAATTCCAGGGACTTCCAATATTTTTTCCTTAGTTATAATTTGAGAAGTTCAAGATCAGATTTTTCACAAAATCATATTACAGAATCAAATCTGACCTTAATTTAGGAACCTTAACTTACAGCATCTTAGGTTAAAAATGTTAACCTACTCAGTAGAAGCCGATAATCCACTTGTCACGCTGACATGATAATAAACTCACACAGCTCAGTGTCCTCATTATTCACCACCATCACTGCACTGTTTCATTAGACACGTATTCACCAACATTCGCACAAGCAGGTAATACGAGGGAACGCTGGAGAACATGTCTTCAGTGTTTGGGCCCTTTTTTATAGTTTATAGTTATAGTTTCTGTAATCCCTGAACTCTCCAGTGGAAAACAATGGCAAAATATGTCAATGAAAGCCCTGAACTGATGCACAGCTGAGGATTTGTGTAACAGAAGAACAGCAAAATTCCACTTTCAAAGCTGGATCAGTGTCTTCAGCCCCCAGATGATCATTAAATGCTGTTGAAAGGAAAGATGATGTAACACAGAGGTAAACATGCTCCTGCTTTCAGTTTAATACAGTTAAACAGAATTTACTCATCACTGCTGTCTGTTTTTATTAGCGCTTCGCACCTTTTTTGGAATTTAATTTGTATATTGTAATTTAATCAGAATGCGTCTCGAGGTACATGCAGCCACAAAAGTAAGAACATGCAGTTCATGATTCTACCACCAGGTGGAAGCATTTAGCAGAGCTTATTTACTGAAGTGACGCTTCAGCCAAAAATCAAATTTGCACAAAATTCAGCCGAGATATGTTCGATGTCCCGAACACCAGGCTAACATAGCTAACCAGGCTAACTGATGCTTGAAGCCACCACTTTATCATGCAAGTCATCACATCACCTGAAACAAAAATTAAAGGGCCCAAATCATTAAAAAACCTTTCTGAAATAAATTTAATATGTAAACACTGCAAACAATAACACTTCAAAATGTACTGTTCGCTCCACCGTCAGTCCAGAAAAATAAACTCAAAAACAGACCATTTAGTGATGTCACAAAAAACCAACATATGTCATACCTTACTAGTTTAGCCCCGTCCACACCCCGCACCCTGAGCCGCAATACAGAACAGCCAATCGGAACAGAGCTCATTTACATATATCAGTGTTAAAGGCACAGTAACAGAAACAGCCTGAATATAATAAGTGGACCTTTTATATACTTAGCAACCACCTGGGACACCATAGCAACGGCCTAGCAACTCCTTAGCAATCACCTGGGAAACCATAGCAACCACCCAGCAACACCTTAGCAACCATTTGGGCCTAGCAACACCTTTGCAACCACCTGGGATACCATAGCAGCGGCCTAGCAACACTTTAGCAACCACCTGGGCTTAGTAACAACTTAGCAACCACCTGGGACACAGCAACCTAGTTACTCCTATGCAACCTCCTGGAATACCATAGCAACAGCCTAGCAACACCTTAGCAACCACCTGATCAAGCTAACTTAAAACTTTCCCATTGTATTTGTTTTATTGTTATTTTTCTTTTATTTTATTATTTTATAATTTTGTTTATTATTTTCCATCTTCATTTTTATTTTATTCAATTATTAATTCTTCTTAATGATTTAATTAGCCTGTTTTAGAAACCACTCTTTTAGTCTTACAGTGCCTAAACTTTACTTTGTCTTCAGTACTTTCAGTTACGTCCTTCATGATTTCTCTCAGTTCTCAGTTTCTCTGTTAGACTTTTATAATTACAGAATTACATTTACTCGCTTTGTCCCTCTTTCTTTGTTATAATGCTCAGCTGCAATTTGAGTGAGGGTCACCCTCAGTGTACCCCAGTTTAAATAAAGGTTGGTTGATTGATTGATTGATTGATTGATTGATTGATTGATTTTGTGCTGCAGTGCTTCCAAAGCCAGAGCATCTCCAAAGTGCAGTGAAGAGTTGGGAGGTTTGTTCAGGCCAGTGTGGAGCAGCTGTAACAGAGATGAGCGGAGAGGAAGCTGCAGTGGAAAAACATCAGCACAGGTGTGGCTGTGGGTGCAAGTGTAAGCGTACCTGCTGAGGTGTGTGTGTGTGTGTGTGTGTGTGTGTGTGTGTGTATGATAAATAGGACAGTGAAGCTCTGTGCGCTTCCTTCTCGTCTGCCACACTTTCACTTCCTTTCGCGGGTGCTACAGTTGCTTTCAGTACCACCCACACAAACACTCTCCCTCTGCTCTGTGCTCCAGCGCTGAGGACCACAGAACCGGTTCTGAAGCAGCAGCAGCTCCGCTCAGACCGTCACGACCGCCTGGAGATGTGACGGGCGGTCGGCCTATGGAGGATGTTGGAGAGAGAGAGGCCAGAAACTCTGGGCCAATCCTGCTGCAGCACCGCTCAGACTCAGAGCTCGCAGACGTGAGGACGCAGACAGAGGAGGGTAGAACCCTCCTGCAGTACAGAGAACAGGAGACACACATCAATGAGCAGGAGGAGAACATGGAGGAGGACAATCCTAAAGTGAGTACAAACATATTTACATACAGGAATGTGCAAAAGTTTTAGGAAACTGAAAAAATTCAAATTTAGCTGCTTGTCTGGTCACTCAGTGTTTATTTGCTCTGAAAAATGCCAATGTTAGAACAAATGCAAAGAACATTAACACAGTAAGTACACACTTAAAAAAGATGGTTCTTCGAGTTCTTTAGTAAAGAAAATGGTTCTATATAGAGCCAGGAACACTCAAAGAACCCTTTGCATGCTTAAATGGTTCTTTGCATCATGAAATTGTTCATCTGATTGATGGAAAAAGTGTTGTATATGGTTCTACATAGAACCTTCTCAAAAAGGGTTCCATATAGCACCAAATAAGTCTGTTACAAGCTTGATATCATAACAATAACCTAACTCATTGTTAATAAGTGCATATATAAAATGTGTCATGTATGCAGTCAGTTAATGTATATATCAAGTATAGTACAAACACAGTCAGTGAGTATGTATATTAAATATATGTATACAGTCAGAGTGCATATATCATGTATAGAATGAGTGTATATATCAAACGTATCAAATATATCATATATAGTCAATGAATGTATACATTATATATACAATTATGTTGTGTGTGTGTGTGTGTATATATAGTCAATGACTGTATATTATATGCATCATATATAGGGTCAATCAGTGTATACTGTCTATATTGTCAGTGATTATATAGATCATATGTATCACATATGCAGTCAGTGGGTGCTTATATCAAATATTTCATAAACAATAAATCAGTGTATCCTGGAGGTTAGGGAACCAGCCCTGTGACTGGAAGGTCGCTGGTTCGATCCCCTGAGCCGACAGTATGTGACTGAGCTGCCCTTGAGCAAGACACCTAACCCCCAACTGCTCCTCAGGCACTGTGGACAGGGCTGCCCGACGCTCTGGGCAAGTGTGCTCACTGCCCCCTAGTGTGTGTGTTCACTAGTGTGTATGTGGTGTCTCACTGCACGGATGAGTTAAATGCAGAGGTGAAATCTCCCTGTTGTGGGACTAATAAAGGTCACTTAATCACTTTTTTAAGAAAAAGAGCTGTTTTCCGTGAGCGCTATCTCTGTATTATGAACAAAATCAGTATGCTCTCCACCAAGCTCCGCCTTATTTTCTTATCACTTCTTAGCAAGCGTTCCTATGTTCCTGTCATTGCCTCAAGCCTTCAATTTGCTATCTGTACCCGTCAACGTCTTCGGTAGTTTGAGTTTTATGTGACTCAGTGTGAAAACAGCAACAAGATCCAATCAACAGTGACTGGTTCTTAGCTGACCTATGGATTGGCCATAGACTGAACGTCCACTGTGTTTAGAGTAGTATGAGAAGCTATGCTAACGCACCCAAAGCATCTCAACGTCTTGCAGTACACATACTATAGGCTAACATACCACACTGATGATATATGTGTGAAAGTTTATGAGTGTAATTAACAGGTTATGCTTGCAAAATGAAAACCTCATAATTCGTCTTTTTGCTCGTAACAGTGTTAGCTTTACCGTCAGGGTTAAGTCTAGTTCCTGTAGCTGCTCAGTTTAAGCTATAAGCTCCATAGTTGGCTATTTTGATGACGAGATGAGAGAGTTTTGTATTACCAACTCTGTCCTTTAGCGTGCATGAGAAAGTTATTCATTAGCATATTGGTGAGACATTATCATGTAGCAAGCTGGAAATCAACATTCATTGGGCTGCATTTTGTCCCATTAACTGTATGAGTAGCCTACTTTACCGCTAGCTGGGGTTTGGTAGAGACAGACTTTTTGAGTAATCCGTAAAGAGAGAGAGAGAGAGAGACAGAGAGAGAGAGAGACAGAAAGAAGTAAATGGAATAGAATCAGTATGAAATTATCAGGTTTCATCATGTATTTTCAGTTAGAAAAATAAATATGTGAATATTTAGTTAAATATGGTAAATAAATTTAATTAAAAGAGGGAACTGGAGTCAAGTCAGTTTTTGGAACAATAGTAGCAGTTCTGCCAGAAAGACTCCGGAGGCAGGAGAGACGGAGGGCAATTCTTTTAATCCTAGATGGGATTTTACAAATTGAAAGATGATAATTCAGTAGAAAGAGTGTTTTGTGTGGGGCCCCATCCTCGGTCCAGTTCTTGGAGTGTCTAGACCCTCACTGTTGCTGCTGGATGGAGGTGGCAGAGGTGGAACCTACCCTTGGAGAATAGGACAGGTGGTGGTGGGGAGGAAGGAGGGGAAAGCAGCACAATAGGTCTGTAAGTTGAGTCATTTTAAAGAAAGCTGCAGGCCTGTGATTGGTCAGGAGTAGTGAAGCATTAGACGTAGCATTAGAGTCTTCCTGGCAGAGCTTTCACTAAAGCTTCCATTTTGGTGGATGGAGGGATGGAAAAGGAACAAATGAAAGGAAAATGGTCATCACTGATGACGTACTGTGATGTCATTACCATGAACGCATTTACATTTTTGGCCTACTAGCGGTTCAGGCCCGGTTGTTGAAGGCTGTCAGGAAGTGAATGAATCACTGCAGTGTCGAAAAGATCCACACATCTGAAAGGAGCAGCTGAGGTTTATACTTCCCAGTGTTCCTCAGGATTTCAGTCTAAACGAGTTTGTTCCACATTTCAGCTCTTGGAACAGCTTTTTGAACTTGCTGTGCCTCAATTCGCCTGTGAAGGAGTCAGCCAATCAGAACAGAGGCCACTTACATATCGTCACAAAAAAGAAAAACTGTACAGAAGAAGCCTATGGAACTCTGGCGAGGCTGTGAGTTTGCTATAATTTTCTGGATTGTTATCTCAAGATGACAAGATAATTAAGTCATCATTTCAAGATAACTTAACTGTCTTATGAACTCAAGATAAATTGTGTTTTGATCTCGCGATAATGACTTGTTATCTCAAGATCATGATAATTGAGTTGTGATCCTAAGATAACTTTATCTTGTTCATAAGACAGTTAAGTTGTTATCTTTAGATCATGACTTAACTATCTTGTAATCTCGAGATAACAAAAGTCATTATCTCGAGATCACAACACAGTTAAGTCATGATCTCAAGATAACAATCCAGAAATTCTAGCTACCTCGTGGCCTCTCTGGACCTCTGTAAGAAGCAGAAAATATTCTTAACTTTAATGAAAGTGGATTTTATTCATTTCGGACTGTTTCTGTTGGTCTGTTAATCTTGAAATGTTTACAGCGGCTGGTATTTTCAAATTATGCATAAAAATGAGAGTTTTTCTTCCAGCAGCTGTATATTAGTCTTAAAGGCAGAGTAACAAATCCGCTTCCTCAGGGATAAAGAGAAGCTGTAAATGTTGATGAGAAACACATTTTACAACTGGAGTTCAGGGAAAAACTATAAATATGAGAAAAAATGTAGAGCAGTTGTGATGAGGCGGCTCGAGGCGATCAGCTGAAATACGCAAAGGTTTATAGGCAGCGTGAATAAATAAATAACCAACCATTTCATATTAAATTGCTACAAAGCACCTCCCTGTGATGCGTATTCTGATCGTCTGGTTTGCGTCTCAATTCTTTGAACTAAGCCTTTTTGCATCTCGCTGACTTCCTCTGATCACCCTTATACACAGAAGCTCTACCACGGTGCAGAAATAGGGGGCAAGAAGTGGGCCATAATTTCAGTATGAGCGTAAGGAAACATGTTGCTAAGCTCTCTCTCTCTCTCTCTGTCTCTCTCTCTCTCTCTCTCTCTCTCTCTCTCTCTCTCTCTCTCTCTCTCTCTCCAGGAAGAGACCAATGAGCAGAAGCTGTATAAGGTAGCCAACGAGCTCCTGCTCACTGAGAGAGCCTATGTTACTCGCCTCTATCTGCTGGATCAGGCGAGTCAACATTTCAAATGACAAAGCAAAATATTAGTGGGACTGAATGTGTTTCTGTCCCTGATCTGTCTGTGTGTGTATTTATCTGCAGGTGTTCTGTGCTAAACTGACCCGGGAGGCGGCGAAAGGTACGTTTCCTGTGGATGTAGTGAAGGGCATCTTCTGTAACGTGGCCTGCATCTACGCCTTCCACAGCAAGTTCCTCCTGCCTGACCTGGAGACCAGGATGCGCGAGTGGTAATCACAAGCACTTCAACAAACAATAAATGGTCAAAAGTATTGGCCTAATTATCTGCCTAATTATTGAGTACAGGTGTTTTATTGCTAACAGGTGTATAAAACCAAACACACAGCATTCCAGTCTCCATAGACAAACACTGTCAGTAGAGGGTCGTACTGAAGAGCGCAGTGACTTTAAACATGGCTCTGTCACAGGATGCTAGACCTGCTAGATCTGCTCCGGACAACTGTAACTGCTGTTATTGTGAAATGGAAGCACCTGAGAGCAACAACAGCTCAGCTGCTTCACTCACTACAGTTTTCCAAACTGCCTCTGGAAGCAAAATCAGCCCAAGAGTTGCGCATCTAGAGCTTCATGAAATGGGTTTCTATGTCTGAGCTGCTGCACACAAGCCTAAGATCACTATGCTCAATGCCAAGTGTCGGCTGGAGGGGTGTAAAGCGCCGCCACTGGACTCTGGAGCAGAGGAACCGTGTTCTCTGGAGTGATGAATCAGCTTCTCTATCTGTCAGTCTGATGATGAATCTGGGTTTGGTGGAGGTCAGGAGAACGTTACCTACCGGAATGCAGAGCCAACAGTACAGTTTGGTGGAGGAGGGATGATGGGCGGGGCTGTTTTTCAGGGTTTGGGCTCTCAGTTCCAGTGAAGGGTGATGTTGATGCTGCAGCACAAAGACATTTTACACAGTTATCTGCTTCCAGCTTTGTGTCAGCAGTTTGGGGAAGAGCCTTTCCTGTTCCAGCATGACTGAGTCCCTGTGCACAAAGCAGCTCCATAAAGACATGGAGTGACCAGTTTGGTGTGGAGGAACTCCAGTGGCCCTCACAGAGCCCTGACCTCAACCCTGCTGAACACCTTTGGGATGAACTGGAATGGAGATTGTGAGACAGGCCCCCTCGTCCAACATCAGTGCCTGACCTCACAAATGCTCTTCTGGATGAATGGACACAAATTCCCACAGACTCTCCAACGTCTTGTAGAAAGCTTCCCAAAAGACTGGAGGCTGTTACAGCTGCAAAGAGGGACAACTCTGTAGTAATGCCCATGGTTTTGGAATGGGATGTCCGGCAAGCTTGTAAAGATTTGATGGTTCGGTGTGTCACTACCCGGTTTGGACCACGCATGTGCAAAAATGTATGTCATTTCCGCTGCTGTTTTTTACGGCTGCTGCCTGATATCAGCTGTGTCTGAAATATAATAAATGCTGCTGACTCATCATGAGTGTTTTGAGGCAGTAAGGCAGCCAGTCATATAGCATTAGCGTCTTTATTCCAGACTTTTAAGAAAGTTTGGATACATCTATACTGCCTTGAACCTCAGTCAGCATTTCACATAATCATTCAATTCAGACGTGACTGGTTGCCTCACTGCCTCAGAATACTGTGTGAGTCGGCAGCATTTATTCTATTTCAGACACAGCCGATATCGGGCAGCAGCTGTAAAACAGTAACGGAAATGACATAATTTTGCACGTGTGGCCTAAATCGGGTTTCCGGTTCAAATCGGGTTGTAACAAGGTGTCGACATACTTTTGGTCATTTAGTGTACGTCCTGATTCACCCTACCTGCAGCTCACCACTACAACCACTGCTATATCTGTTATAGCATTTCCTGTAGCCTCAGTAAAATCAGCTGTAGAGCCTCATTTATAAACCTTTGTACAGTGGACGGCGTACAAGCTGAGGGGGGTTTAGTGGACGGCGTACGAGCTGAGTGGAGTATAGTGGACGGCGTACGAGCTGAGGGGGGTTTAGTGGACGACGTACGAGCTGAGGGGAGTTTAGTTGACGACGTACGAGCTGAGGGGGGTTTAGTGGACGGCGTACGAGCTGAGGGGGGTTTAGTGGACGGCGTACGAGCTGAGGGGGGTTTAGTGGACGGCGTACGAGCTGAGGGGTGTTTAGTGGACGGCGTACGAGCTGAGGGGTGTTTAGTGGACGGCGTACGAGCTGAGGGTGGTTTAGTGGACGGCGTACGAGCTGAGGGTGGTTTAGTGGATGGCGTACGAGCTGAGGGTGGTTTAGTGGACGGCGTACGAGCTGAGGGGGGTTTAGTGGACGGCGTACGAGCTGAGGGTGGTTTAGTGGACGGCGTACGTGCTGAGGGGGGTTTAGTGGACGGCGTACGAGCTGAGGGGGGTTTAGTGGACGGCGTACGAGCTGAGGGTAGTTTAGTGGACGGCGTACGAGCTGAGGGTGGTTTAGTGGACGGCGTACGAGCTGAGGGGGGTTTAGTGGACGGCGTACGAGCTGAGGGGAGTTTAGTGGACGGCGTACGAGCTGAGTGGAGTATAGTGGACGGCGTACGAGCTGGGGCGGGTTTAGTGGACGGCGTACGAGCTGAGGGGGGGTTTAGTGGACGGCGTATCTACTACTACTGCATGTGGAGATTCTGCAATGCTAAAATTGATTTGTATCAATTAGAATATTTAACTTAATCAAAAGTCTGGACTCATTTTCATGCCTTCATTTTGTCTAAAATATAAGTTTATTGTTTTATGGTATTTATTCCACTGCTGCGATAATAATCCCTCCAATTACGTTTGTGTGTGTTGTATTATTTTACCACAAAACACTTTAAATGGCACCCAAATAATGTATTTGAGTTTAAATGAAGTTTAAGATTTAATGACGCACTTATTAATTTGTTAAAGAATCTTAATGGAATCAAAATCTTTGAGGCTAAGATTAACACTTTCAGTATCTACTGGTCTAACTCCTCCCCTCGTCTGTGTTCAGGGAGAGCAGGCCTCGGATTGGGGACATCTTAGAGCAGCACGCTCCGTTCCTCAGGATGTACGCAGAGTACGTGAAGAACTTTGACAACGCCATGGATCTCCTCAAACAGTGGACCGAGCGCTCAGCGCAGTTTAGCGCCATCATTCAAGAGATCCAGGTGTGTGTTCTGAGTGCCCAGCAGCCTAAATCCGTTTACCCTCCATTTAAAAACAAAGGACCAGAAAGTGGTTCTCGTATGAGACTGTTTGGTGTGGTTTTATGTTCCACTGCAGAAGCAGGACATCTGTGGCAGCCTCACTCTGCAGCACCACATGCTGGAGCCTGTGCAGAGGGTTCCTCGCTACGAGCTGCTGCTGAAGGACTACCTGAAGAGACTCCCGCTGGACGCTCCTGACCGCAGCCAGGCAGAGAGTGAGAAACCCAACTTAACTTGCACTATACGGAATATTTATTTGTAATCAGGAACTACAGATTAAACACTCAGCCTTTAACAAGCAGAACCTTCTTTGCTTTTTTGTTTTTTTCTGTGTTCTTTAAAGCTGCACTGTTAAGATTTTTTTGTTAAAATTAAAAAAAGTGGTTATTAATCCAGGTTTACATACTCAGGCTGTTATTAATCCAGATTTAGACACACAGACTATGATTAATCCAGATTTAGACACACTGGTTACGATTAATCCAGGTTTAGATGCTCAGATTAAAGTTAATCCAGGTTTAGGTACTTGGGCTGCTGTGATTAATCCAAGTTTAGACACTCGGGTTACGATTAGTCCAGGTTTAGACACTCGGGTTATGATTAGTCCAAGTTTAGACACTCGGGTTATGATTAGTCCAAGTTTAGATGCTCAGATTACAATTAATCCAGGGGTAGGTACTTGGACTGCTGTGATTAATCCAGGTTTAGATACTCAGGCTGTGTTTAACCCTCAAATTGTGCACATGAAAGCAAGGTGTTTATGCTGAACAGCTAATTGCATGAAGCAAGAAGAGGAGTCTCAAAAGACAGAACAAGAAAGATAAACCTGAATATGTAGAAATCAAAGCATTTATAATGGTAAAAACAACATGGTCACCATGGCCACCAGGGTCAGACTGAACTAAGCTTAAAGTCAGCTGGATAAGTAAGAAACACTTGTGGCAGTAATTGTTATGAATTAGACTCTAATTTTACAGTACATCAGCTAACAAGATGGGGGACCCCAAAAAAGTCCTGCAGAGGGCCCCTAAAGGGCTGGAACTGGCCCTGTCTACATGTTTCATGCAATTACACATTTCCACCAGAGAGGTCTCCAAATCCCCAAATCGTACACAGTGCAGCTGTAAGTCACAACTCATGCTAATAAAGTGTGAAGATTTTTGTTTGTTTGTTTCACTTTTTCAGAAATTGGGAACATTTTGTGGGATGGATCAGTGAATTTGTAGGATGTAGATTTTTAAATGTAGCCAGGATGTCATTGTCTCTGAAATACACACCAATTCATCTGCTTTACTTATTCTACTATGTTACTGTACTGTAAACTGTTTCGCCCACGAGGCTGCAGCAAGAACAATGAGTCCATTCGGGCTCTTCTAACTTTGTCTGAACCCTTCGATTTCACTTCCACTGTCGAGTTTTGCAGTTTAGGAATCACTTCTCTTAAAGGGAAATTCCGCTGATTTGTGAAAAAAACTGCATAATTACCTGTTTAAGTTGTAAACAGAGTCATTCAGAGTCATTTAGAGTCATTCAGAGTGGTTTGGTTTGAGACACTCTGTTCTAGATAAACATACCGAGTCAGAACTGTTCACAGTGGTGGTGATAGGAACCAGACGTCCACCTCTAAAAGCTCCCTCACAGAAAGTTCCTACATGAAATGGTTATGAATTCACTGCCTGATGACTGAGACGCTGTTTTATGATAGATTTTGGTCCTAAACGTCCATTCATGGTGGAGGGATACATAACGTAGGGAGTTCTGATAAAAAATAGTCCCCAAAGAAAACGTTTTATACTATTTTGCCATCATCAACATTCTGTACCTGTATCAACATGTAGGTTCACTAGTCGCATTAAGTTTATCTATAATGCAGCGTTTCACATTAAACCACTTGAATGACTTTATTTACATCTCACCACCTGAATTACAGATTTTTTTTTAAAAAATTGATAGAATTTCCCTTTAATATTTCTCCACAGAGTCTCTACAGACCATCTCCATGGCTGCCACTCACTCCAACAGCGCCATCCGCAAAATGGTGAGTGTCCCACTGCGACCTTAATTAACCTGGTGCTAATTGCAAGATGCTCGTTTATTCACATTAATCTTGCTAATAGTTTATTAAGAGGCAACTAAACCTCTCACGATGGCAGCAGTTTCCATTTGAAAGCTCAGGTTTGAGTATGTGATACCTGATTCTCTGCTGGTTATTCAGGAGAACCTTAAGAAGCTTCTGGAGATCTATGAAATGCTTGGAGGGGAGGAGGACATTGTGAACGCCTCCAACGAGCTCATTAAAGAAGGCCAAATCCTGAAGCTGGCCGCCAGGAACACCTCAGCCATGGAGAGATATCTCTATCTGGTAAGACTCAAGTGGCACAGCTCACTTCATAAGTGAACGTATACAAAGAGAATCTGTGGAGTTGAAATACCTGTCGTGTGTTTGAGTCTGAGAAAAGCTCAATATGAAGTGCAGTAATGAGACAATTATTGAGTCGAAGCAATACTGAGAAGTCTTTTCACTTAACTTGCATAAACCTGCCGGCAGCAGCTCAGTTTGTGAAATGTTAGCGCTGCCCCAGTCTGGCCCAGTCTGGCCCAGTCTGCCCCAGGCTGCCCCAGGCTGAGCGCTGAAGAAAACAGCACTTAGTTTTTTTTGATCACAAGTAGGATGTTATTTATGATGCACAACCTCAAACGTTCAACTGCTTAAAGGGCCCATATCAAGGAAAACTGAATTTTTGATTTTTAAAAAGGAGTGTAAAAACATTGCTAAACTTTAAAAACATACCATTCACTCCAGTCCATACAGTCCACATATGGAAACTAAGCTGCAAAAACAGCCTGATTTGATTCACTGTTTCTGTGATGTCACAAAAAACAATACATTTTGCTTATATCTGCCTATTCAGCCTACAGCAGTTTAGCTCCACCCATTCATGTTTAAGGTATAAGAGTGTTTGAGCCCAAGATAAAAAAGTTGAAAAGGGATTGTGTAAAATTGGAGTGTGACTGTTTGTGATAAATAAACAAACATCGTTAAGAGAAACATGCAGAGTCTTAAGACTTACTAATCAGGCCTTAAACTCTCTCGTTTTCACTCAAAGCAGTGGTCTGACACCTTCACTCCACTGTAAAATTGCAGCAGTTTAGCTCCGCCCACTCATGTGGAAGTTAGGAGTGTTTCAGCCTGGACTGCTTTTCGAATGAGGTGCAGCCAATTAGAACAGAGCTCATTTGCATATGCCAGTCTTAAAGTTGCAGTAACAAAATCAGCCTGTTTAATTTTAAGGGGTAAAAAGAGGGAAAATGATGATGTAAAAATGATTAAAAAAAGACTGATTTCACTTCCACTGTCGAGTTTTGCAGTTCAGGAATCACTTCTCTTAAGATGTAAACAGTCGTTCAGAGACATTTGGTATGAAACGCTGTTCTAGAGAGAACTGTTCACAGTGGTGGTGATAGGAACCAGATGTCCACCTCACAGAAAGTTACTACAGTAAATGGTTATGAATGAAGGGATTAAAAGACATTGAAAATTATCATGTAAAAAATATTTTTTAAAAAAATTTTGACTGGTTGGTTGAATAAACTCAACAAAAGCAAAAGTAAATCAAACTTGGGATGAAAAATAAAGTACAAGAAAAACTTGCTGATCAGGTGTTAAGCTCTGTCTGTCTTTCTGTCCGTCTAGTTCAACAACATGTTGCTGGTCTGTGTGCCGAAGTTCAGCCTGCTGGGTCAGCGGTTCACCGTGCGCACTCGAGTGGGCATAGAGGGCATAAAGGTGGTGGAGACGGTGAACGACGCCTACCCTCACACCTTCCAGGTGTCGGGCAAAGAGCGCACGCTGGAGCTGCAGGCCAGGTGAGCTCAGCTCTGACCCCTCTCTCTGTCTGGATATCTGAGGAGTTCTGACTAATAATAATATTAATAATCACTGCTCTCCTCTGTACACGCAGCTCTGAGCAGGACAAAGACGACTGGATCAAGGTATTTATCTTCACATACACTCCAGGTCTAAAGTGTGGAAATCAGATCTTTACCTTTCAGAAATGTTTCCCAACAAACCACACGACATCTAGTTTAACCAGAGAAGTTTGTTTTGGTCTGCAAACCCAATTCTAACGTCGACACAGTAGCAAATAAAAATAGAAAGCAGTGATTTATAAATGCTCTTTTACCTGTATTTGAACAGAACAGCACAAAGACAAGATAATTAATGTTTTTCTTTGGCAACTTCTCAGTTTTCTTGTAAATATAAGCTCATTCTGAATTTGATAGCTGGGACAGGAGGAATTTAAAGTCTTAAACTGGTGACGTAGTCACACCCGGATATAAAAAAAGCATCCAGGAAAGGCTGAGTGAGGAAGGTTCATTCAGAGTATAACGTTCTAACCATGGACTGCTGAGTGAGGAATAGAACGTTCAGTCATCCATCACTGTGCGCTGCAGTCATTTTTTGAGTAGTTTTTAAACTTTTGTCACAGAATATTGAACACATCGTGATCCAGCACAGTTTTATAAATGTTTTATAAGCACTTTTTTGTCCTAAATTACAGGTTTAGGAGTTGAATGCATTCTTCTGTATAAAAATGTTTCAGCATTTACAAACTATGATTTTGCTCAGATGCTCCCTATTAACCCATTCATTTTGGACTCAGGAGCGCCCTCTAGTGTCAGATAAACCCCGCAGACATTACTAAGTGGCAGTTCTCCTCTCTACACGTTCTCTGGCGAAGCTAATTTGGGGCTCAGACCCGAAAAGCTGTAAAGCTGCTTTGTGGCACTCTGTAAAATACGCTGTATAAATCAAACTCATCAAATATTACTTAAAAATTTAAAATAGTCTGTTTTTACAAAGTTAGTGCTGCATCCAAACTTTCATTCTGTAGTTTATTTGTTTATTTTTAGGATCCTTATTAGCTGCTATTGTGATAGCCACTATTCTTCCTGAGGTCCAGTAGACAAATCACACATCACAAAAATAGTGTGGTAACAATTAACAAAACAAATCATACAAAACGCAAGAGTACAAAAAAATCAAGAAAAACAAAGAAAGAAAACTGAAAAATAAAAAGTTGACAATGTAACCATAACATAGAAAAGATGACTAAAATCTGAAAAATCACACTGAAAGAAAAGATCATGTGTATATTTACAAAAACTTTATTTGACTGTATTCTGGTAAATATCTCCATTCCTGCCACCTCCACCATAGTGTTGTTGTAGCTGTCAGGGACCGATCAACTTAACTGGTCTCTAAATCTGTTAAATGGTGTTTTTTTTTTTATTTAATCAGTTGTTAAACATGATTTAACCCTCAGTTCTAAGCAGTGAGACTGGTAGGGAATTCCACTCCTTTACGGCTCTATAAATTACTGCTCCACACATGTAGTTATTTGTAAATATTGTAAATATTTTTTTGTTGTATATCTTGTTATATTAGTTTCTCTTCCTTTTACTTGCTCCAGTTGATCAGAGAGATCTGCTGGATATTTTTGTTCATAAGTATTTTTAATAAGTTGAGTAAGAATCACCTGCCACCTGTAGAGCTTCTCTTTAGATACTAATATTCTGTAATAGCTTGTGGTTTGTGGAACTGGAGATGCTCTTTCTGTCTCCAGGCTTTCCAGCAGACGATACAGACGTTCCAGAAGAAGAATGAGACGTTCAAGTCTGCGTCTAAAGAAGCAGAGGAGGACGTGTCTGTAAGTACAGTTTAGTGTTTGTGTGTATCAGAGTAACTGATTACATTTACTCGAGTACCTGTACTTCAGTAAGTACTGATGGATTTGTTCTCCTGAGTATTTTCAAATCATACTTCCACTTCTACTCCAGTGTATTAGCGAGTAAATGAAGGTACTTTTACTCAGTTACATTTTGGCTGTTTATATTTAGTTACTAATTCCTTTTTCTGTTTAATTTAATTGTGTTTTAATGGTGACGACGTCTGTACTGCTTTGTGTTCAGTGACATCTCTGATTTTGGAGCTTTAGCGTTTTATTTTAGACCAAAATAATCTTAAAGAGGAGAACAGAGCTGTTCTAGAGAAACTTACCGAGTCAGAACTGTTCACAGTGGTGGTGATAGGAACCAGACGTCCACCTCTAAAAGCTCCCTCACAGAAAGTTCCTACATGAAATGGTTATGAATTCACTGCCTGATGACTGAGACACTGTTTTATGATAGTTTAGAGAACTTAAACTCCATTCATAGTGGAGGGATACATGCAGGGCGCTGTGAGGCAAAATAGTCCCCAAAGAAAACTTATTATTTCAGATTTTCCACTATTTTCCATCATCAACATTCATATAAACTCAGAAGACTCGTGTAGGTTCACTGGTGGTTCTGGATAGTAAATAAAATGTCTATATCTGTGTTGTAGTCATGGCGACCCCTGGTTCCTATCACCACCACTGTAAAGAGATCTGAACCATTTCACACCAAACCACTCTGAACCACTTTAAGTAGTTTTTGTCCTGATACTATTTTTATTTCTACTCGAGTTGTTTTTTGGAAAGGTGCTTTTACTGTTACCTGAGTATTGTTTGTGTCTGTGTGTGTCTGTGTGTGTCTGTCTGTGTGTGTGTGTGTGTGTGTCTGTGTGTGATGTGCGTGTGTCTGTGTGTGTCTGTCTGTCTGTCTGTCTGTCTGTCTGTCTGTGTGTGTGTGTGTGTGTGTGTGTGTGTGTGTGTGTGTCTGTCTGTCTGTCTGTCTGTGTGTGTGTGTGTGTGTGTGTGTGTGTGTGTCTGTCTGTGTGTGTGTGTGTGTGTGTGTGTCTGTGTGTGTGTCTGTGTGTGTGTGTGTGTCTGTGTGTGTCTGTCTGTCTGTGTGTGTGTGTGTCTGTGTGTGTCTGTGTCTGTGTGTGTGTGGTGTGTGTGTGTGTGTGTGTGTGTGTGTGTGTGTGTGTGCGCGCAGACGGAGGAGCTGGGCCGAAGAGCCCCTCGCTGGATCAGAGACAACGAGGTGACCATGTGCATGAAATGCAAAGAGCCCTTCAACGCTCTGACCCGCAGAAGACATCACTGCAGAGCGTGCGGCTATGTGAGCGAGACCACAGACTGAGAGTTACACAACAAAAAGATGGTTCTTCAAGGGTTCTTTACTAAAGAAAATTGTTCTATATAGAACCATGAACACTCAAAGAACCCTTTGCTTGTTTAAGAGGTTCTCTGCATCATGGAATGTTTCTTCAGATTGATGGAGAACGTGTTGCATGTGGTTCTATATAGAACCTTTTTGTGAATGGTTCTATATAGCACCAGAAAAGGTTCTTGTATTGTTACAAGCTTGACATTGTAACAAAAGAAGAATCTTTTTTTTTTCCTTTTTTTCTCTATAGAACCATATGCAGCACATTCTTCATTAAGCTAGAGAACCATTTTATCCTTCTAATCAATCAAAGGGTTCTTTAAGTGTTCATGGTTCTATATAGAACCCTTTTTTCTTTACTTTATTAGCATGTATAGTATGCTACTGTTACTGCTATTTCTGGACAAACTTTATGCAAATGAGCTGACGACCAATCAGATATGTTGATATGTGGTGCTGTGACGGTCACACGGTGAGATTTAACACTGAAACACTGAGTGTGTTTACATGCACTCAATAATCCGATCCTAATCAGATTTCTGCAGTTATCCGATTGTTGAAATGGTCATGTAAGCTCCATACTCCGATCTAGAAATCCGATTAAGGAATCTGATAAAGAAACTGGATTTTATCTCAGTAATCAGATTTCTCAGCGCATGTAAACTATTACTCTGATTTCTATCAGATTTCTCAGTCTGCGCGAGATCAGACAGTGGATGTCTCGAGATGCAGCAGAACACTGTTGGAGCGGCGCTGAAACCAAACGCAGAATAAAGGATTTAAATATTCTTCATCTTCTAGATGATGTTTAAAAAAAGCCGCGGTGTGAAGTTTGAGTTTTACGTTACGATTACGTCGCATCTTCTTCGGTGAGTTGTTTGGCTGGTTGTAAAGCAGAAATCTGATTACTGTCTGACTCATGTAGACCTGGAGTTTCCCCATTATCTGATTACCCAAGAGCATATAAACATGTTGAACGGATTGCTGACAAAGTCTGATTTTCTGCAGTTATCGGATTATTAAGTGGATGTAAACACACTCCGTGAGTGGGAGACATAACGGTTGATACAAGCATCATTATTACACTAGATTAGACTTTTTAGGTTTGAATTCAATATTAAGCTGCTTTGGGACCCTCAGACTTTCTCTCTTTGACTCTTAACTTGTGTGAGTTTTAGTAATGACCCCAAAGTGCCCAGCAATCACAGCAGAGCAGCAGATTTAAACATATCAAACTCCACTCTAAAACTAACACACACGACTCTTTACTGTACTCAAATCACTCTTTCAGGTTCAGAACGATTTATTATTATTTTTAACTCTTGGTATCCTGAAATCAGGAGATGTTGCAGCCCCCCCACTTCCCACATCTCAGTATACAGAACCGTTTTCTTTACTAAAGAACCCTTTAAGTGTGCAGGGTCGCTGATCTTCACTATCCCATCATGTTCCCACTCTGAGCGGCAGTGTGTGAACCGACTGCTGTGCTTTGCTGTAGGTGGTGTGCTGGAGGTGCTCGGACTACAAGACCCCTCTGGAGTACGACGGCAACCGGATGAACAAGGTGTGTAAGGACTGTTTCTCCATCCTGACAGGAAGAACTGCGAGCGAGGAGCGGAGTGAGGCCAAGAAACGAGGCATCCTGGAGGTGTGTGTGTCTCTATCACTGAGGACAACATAATGCTATTTTTGTCTCTTTAAAGGGAAACTCCACTGATTTTGTCAAAATTCCCCCGTAACTCAGAGTGTGAGACGTAAACAGAGAGATTCAGAGTGGTTTGGTGTGAAATGGTTCAGATGTCTTTACAGTGGTGGTGATAGGAACCAGGGGTCGCCATGACTACAACACAAATATAGACATTTTATTTACTATCCAGAACCACCAGTGAACCTACACGAGTCTTCTGAGTTTATATGGAATGTTTATGATGGAAAATAGTGGAAAATCTGAAATAATAAGTTTTCTTTGGGGACTATTTTGCCTCACAGCGCCCTGCATGTATCCCTCCACCATGAATGGAGTTTAAGTTCTCTAAACTATCATAAAACAGTGTCTCAGTCATCAGGCAGTGAATTCATAACCATTTCATGTAGGAACTTTCTGTGAGGGAGCTTTTAGAGGTGGACGTCTGGTTCCTATCACCACCACTGTGAACAGTTCTGACTCGGTAAGTTTCTCTAGAACAGAACGTTTCACACCAAACTGCTCTGAACGACTCTGAATGGCTCTGTTTACATCTTAACTATTTAATTATGGAGAAATTTTAGAAAAACTGGTGGAATTCTCCTTTAACACCTACAAAGAATGAATTCAAGCAAGCAATCTGGTGTTCTCTCTCTCTCTCTCTCTCTCTCTCTCTCTCTCTCTCTCTCTCTCTCTGTCTGTCTGTCTGTCTGTCTGTCTGTCTGTCTGTCTGTCTGTCTCTCTCTCTCTCTCTCTCTCTCTCTCTCTCTCTCTCTCTCTCCCCGTCTCTCTGTCTGTCTGTCTGTCTGTCTGTCTCTCTCTCTCTCTCTCTCTCTCTCTCTCTCTCTCTCTCTCTCTCTCTCTCTCTCTCTCTCTCCCCGTCAGATTGAAGCGGCTCAGTTCTCGGGCAGCAGTCTGGTGTGTGGTTTTCTGCTGTACAGTGAGAAAGCTCGGCCGTGGCAGAGAGTCTGGTGTGTGATTCCTCAGAAGGAGGCTGTGGTGCTCTATGTTTACGGTGCTCCACAGGTGAGTCTGCATCTCACAGCAGCAGCTCGATTTCATCCTGTCAGTGTTTGGAGACTAAAACCTTTTAAACCGGCTGCTTCTGTTTCTCTGCCTTTAAGGCTGATATTTGTAAATGCATAATGAACATGTGGTCACTCATTTATCCTTCTTAGAGCCCAGGAAACACCCACTCAACATTTTCAGCCAGAAAAACAAGACTGTTCTGTATGAAATGTAGTGATCAGTAAGAGACACTGATAATGTTGCACAAATATCACCCTGTTTACACTGCACTGACCGCCTGGGTCTGTTAGAGAGAGTTTAAAGCTCTGCTGCTGGTTTTTAAAGCTCTAAATGACCTAAAGCTCCTGACCGTCTGTCTGTTTATGATCTCAGATCTGCAGATTCTGACCTTCTGAACTCCTTCAGTGAAACACAGAAAACGTGGAGAGACTCTTTCAGTTATTCTGCTTCTATGTGGGGTTTGTAGGGGTTTGCAGGGGCTGTGTGGGGTTTTAGAGGTGTTTGCAGGGGCTGTGTGAGGTTATGTGGGATTTGCTGGGGTTATGTGGGGCTGTGTGAGGTATTATGGGATTTGCTGGGGTTATGTGGGGTTTGCTGGGGCTGTGTGAGGTTATGTGGGATTTGCAGGGGTTATGTGGGGTTTGCTGGGGCTGTGTGGGGTTATGTGGGATTTGCTGGGGTTATGTGGGGTTTGCTGGGGCTGTGTGGGGTTATGTGGGGTTTGCTGGGGTTGTGTGGGGTTATGTGGGATTTGCTGGGGTTATGTGGGGTTTGCTGGGGTTGTGTGGGGTTATGTGGGATTTGCTGGGGTTATGTGGGTTTGCTGGGGCTGTGTGGGGTTATGTGGGATTTGCTGGGGCTGTGTGGGGTTTGCTGGGGCTGTGTGGGGTTTGCTGGGGCTGTGTGGGGTTATGTGGGATTTGCTGGGGTTATGTGGGATTTGCTGGGGTTATGTGGGGTTTGCTGGGGCTGTGTGGGGTTTGCTGGGGCTGTGTGGGGTTATGTGGGGTTTGCTGGGGTTATGTGGGGTTTGCTTGGGCTGTGTGGGGTTATGTGGGATTTGCTGGGGTTATGTGGGATTTGCTGGGGATATGTGGGGTTTGCTGGGGCTGTGTGGGGTTTGCTGGGGCTGTGTGGGGTTATGTGGGGTTTGCTGGGGTTATGTGGGGTTTGCTTGGGCTGTGTGGGGTTATGTGGGATTTGCTGGGGCTATGTGGGGTTTGCTGAGGGTGTGTGGGGTTATGTGGGGTTTGCTGAGGGTGTGTGGGGCTATGTGGGGTTTGCTGGGGCTGTGTGGGGCTATGTGGGGTTTGCTGGGGTTACATGAGGTTATGTGGGATTTGCTGGGGTTATGTGGGGTTTGCTGGGGCTGTGTTGGGTTATGTGGGGTTTGCTGGGGTTACATGAGGTTATGTGGGGTTATGTGGGGTTTGCTGGGGTTATATGGGGTTTGCTGGGGTTATGTGGGGTTTGCTGGGGCTGTGTGGGGTTTGCTGGGGCTGTGTGGGGCTGTGTGGGGCTGTGTGGGGTTTGCTGGGGCTGTGTGGGGTTTGCTGGGGCTGTGTGGGGTTATGTGGGGTTTGCTGGGGCTGTGTGGGGTTTGCTGGGGCTGTGTTGGGTTATGTGGGGTTTGCTGGGGTTATGTGGGGTTTGCTGGGGCTGTGTGGGGTTATGTGGGGTTTGCTGGGGTTCATATGAGTTTATGTGGGGGTAGCGTGGGTTACGTGAGGTCCCGACTGTGCGACTGTGCGACTGTGATTGAGTCCCTCTGATTCAATACTTTTTCATTTGTCTCTTTCCGAGCGTTATGAACAGGGCGTTGTGGCCACAGGCACCGAGCTGTACACAGCATTTTACATACTGACCAGTAAAAATGCAGAGCCTGTTGTCCAAGTGGACACTTGCCTTGGAGACTTTGCGTTCTTTTTCTCTTTTGACGAATCAGATTTGGTCTGCATTCGTTAACTGAGACCTCCATGATGGCTAATGAGCTGGTCTGTCTGGAGTCAGTGATGCTGTTATACTGGCTGAAGTTTGCTAAGATCTTTATGTAATCATGTATTAAACAAGCTGGTGTTACTCTGAGAGTCTCTTACTGCAGTAGATGAACAGAATCTAATGAAATAATCTGGATCAGGTGACATCACGGTGGACCTGATTGGCAGACGGACCACCTCAGTCACCATAACGGCGACGTTCTTGTAAAGTTTTTAAATAAATATTTCCTTTTTTTTAAAACAACGCCTGCCTGCTTTTTGTTGATCTTTAGCTAAACATGCTGGAGGATTTCTGGGATTTGACCTTGTGAATTTTCCCTGTTAGTCTGTAGGTACATGTGAACTGTAGTTCTGTGTTTTCTCTGTTTAAAAATTTCATCTGAGTCTTTTGTCTTTCCTCTTACTGGGACTTCGTCAGGACGTCAAAGCCCAGTCTACCATCCCGTTACTGGGCTACAGTGTCGATGATGCCCCCCGGGCCGTGGACCCTCCCTCCAGTTTCCGCCTGTGTCAGTCGAAATCCCTCCACAGCTTCGCCTGCGAGTCTGAAGAGCAGAAGCGGCGGTGGCTGCAGGTGATCCGAGTGGCTGTGACCGGCAACGTAGCTGAGCTTCAGACGGCCGGCAGCGGCGACCTCGCCAACGGCTGTCACGACAGTGGCCCTCATAGCATTTGACAGGCTGGGGGTCACCAGCTGTGGACACGGTTACACCGTGAGCAGGAAACTGGAACGTGGAACTGGAAGAGCCTGAACAACAACTCTTGACTGGGAGCAAATAAATATATTAGTAGTATATGATCTATGAAGAGACTGAATTAATCACTGACTACATGCACAGAGAATTTAATCAAAGTCAAACTAAATTACATTGATTGAGCTGAAACAGCAATTAATGTTTCTTTTATTTGCAATGTTTGATCATTTTGACAGCGTGACCCTGTTTGTACATTTCAAATGTGTAAGTCTGTGCACTTTACAGCCTTTCAGAACTGGAAAATTTCAATTTAAATGTAATAAAATGTCCTTTTACAGGATTCCTTGTGTTTTTGTTTTGAGTCTACAGTAGATACTGATTTACCTGCCCGCTCTTTATCTAGAATAAAGAGCCAGACGGACTCGGAGGAAACTGTCTGTCTGTGTTGTTGAAGGAGAATCTCAGGCAGGGTCGTCTACACGGCTATCGGGGGCTCCACCCCCCCCCATTCAGAGAGGGCATGAAGTTTCACAGACAGTGAGAATGATGATCAAAATGATCCACAGAGAGACAGGAGTGAGTGGAGCTCCATTGCGCTCGGCGTCTTCGCCGTCGCCAGCACAGCAGCCGAGACCCCAACCCGTTATAGGGCGGCCCCCTACAGTTAGCCCACTTTATCCTCCAAATAGTGCCAGTTTACTCTCATAACTTTACTTCTTTATTCTCGAAATAGTACGACTTTATTCTCGAAGTCTATTTTTATTTTTATTAACAGTGGCCCTAAAACACCATCGTAGCAAGCAGTGCTGGGTCCAGAAAAAAGCTCTGTAACATTCTGTAACATGACTTATGGCGTCACTTCCCTTCTGGAGTGCGGTGATGGGGAGAGGACGGCTGTGGACAGAAAGAGCTGCTCTTCACTTCTTCAGTGTTCGTATCTGAGGAAAATAATAAAAATCAGCAAACAGATGAAGCTGCTGACCATCCTGCAAACCGGAATGCAGAAAAGTGATGTAGGGAATTGTGCAATCGATCCAATTTGGATGGAGTTCTTGTGTGTGAAAGCAACCCAGTGATGATGAGCCCCCAAATCCCCCAAACGAGCCCAGAATCCGTCCTGGACACGGACTCGAGTATTCAACACAAGTATTAAAACGCCTTTAGTGACAAGGCAATAAAGAGCTTCACACAACAGATTAAACCTACATATTTACTTAAAGGATTTACTCAAATTTCTCCACTTGTGTTTATTCACCAAAAGCAGCCACTCTTTCTATGTGTCTGTTCTCCAGCCTCTCTTTATCCCTCAGAACTAAGGCTGTTACGCTACTGCACCTTTAAGACTGATATATGTAAATGAGCTCTGAGCTCTGTTCTGATTGGCTGCTTTGTATCGTGCATCAGTTTGAAAGCAGTCTGGGCTGAAACACTCCTTATAACGTCAGCGTGAAGCGTGATGTAAAAATGGGCTGTTTTATGTTTAATTGCCATATTTGGACTGAACTGTACGCTGTAAACCATGAGCAGTGTTTACATACATTACACTCTTTTACTTAAAATAAATAAATAAATATAAAAAGTCCATGATTTTCCACAATATGAGCCCTTTAATACTGAAAGCAGATGTGGCTTGTACTGCAATACAGTCTGTGAACTGCAAGTCATTGCAATTTGCTGCAGTTCTAACGGTGCACGTCATTGACTTTACGGCGCTGACAAAACAAAAACTTGCATAAAATTGTAAAACATAAAAGTATATTGGCAGAATGCAGTCAAAACAAAACTGAGAAAATAAACCGAAAAAACAGCTCAGGTTCTACACCGGTCAGACATAACATTCTGACCACCTCCTTGTTTCTACTTACTATAGAGGTGCACTTTGTAGTTCTACAGTTACAGACTGTAGTCCATCTGTTTCTCTGATACTTTGTTACCCTGTTCTTCAGTGGTCAGGACCCCCATGGACCCTCACAGAGCAGGTACTATTTGGGTGGTGGATCATTCTCAGCACTGCAGTAACACTGACGTGGTGGTGGTGTGTTAGTGTGTGTTGCGCTGGTCTGAGTGGATCAGACACAGCAGTGCTGCTGGAGTTTTTAAACACCTCAGTGTCGCTGCTGGACTGAGAATAGTCCACCAACCAAAAATATCCAGCCAACAGCGTCCTGTGGGCAGCGTCCTGTGACCGCTGATGAAGGACTAGAGGATGACCAACACAAACTGTGCAGCAGCAGATGAGCTATCGTCTCTGACTTTACATCTACAAGGTGGACTGACAAGGTAGGAGTGTCTAATAGAGTGGACAGTGAGTGGACACAGTGTTTAAAAACTCCAGCAGCACTGCTGTGTCTGATCCACTTGTACCAGTGCAACACACACTAACACACCACCACCACGTCAGTATTACTGCAGTGCTGAGAATGATCCACCACCCAAACAGTACCTGCTCTGTGAGGGTCCATGGGGGTCCTGACCACTGAAGAACAGGGTAAAAGGGGGCTAACAAAGTATCAGAGAAACAGATGGACTACAGTCTGTAACTGTAGAACTACAAAGTGCACCTATATAGTAAGTGGAGCTGATAAAATGGACAATGAGCGTAGAAACAAGGAGGTGGTCAGAATGTTATGCCTGATCAGTGTGATCAGGCGACTGCATCGTGAGGTAATCTGGGTGTTTATCTTCTGCTTGTATGAGTTCGTTACAAGTCCAAACTTTTCCCACTAGAATATGAACACATTTCTTTCAATAAAAAAGGCTCAGCACTGTACAAACATTATTGAGTGGGAGGAAATGTTAACGGATGTACATAAAGAAATAACCAAAACAAACCCTAGTTATAATAACAGTCTTCATACAGAAATGGCAGTTTTAAATTCTTAGACTTAACTTTCAAACTCAAACATTATAAATATAAAACAAAATACTATTAAAAAACAATTATTCCAGATCAAATACACACTCGTTATAATTAAGGCCTCGATGAAATTTCAAGTTGAAAAACCTCCAGTATTTATATTAAATTAACGCAGGACTTCTTAAGTGCTCGGAGGCAGACCTGCAGTTTTTGTGTGTCCGTCCGCGTCCCGTTCAAACAGCCTGGCCAGCTGTTCCTCGTAGTTGGCGATATTTCTCTTCATGATGTCTTTACAGGGACCCAGCAGCCTCTCGAACGCCTGCACGTCCATCACTGGGAGTTAAGAGAGAAACCATTAGATACAAGAACATGAGGACGAAGGCTGTGTTCAGACTGCAGGCGAATCGGGTTTGTTTATCAAATCTTTTGAGCCGACTGTCTGCTCTGTTATCTACAGTGATCAGATCAAAGTTGTGTGTCCAGACATCACCAGTCTATCTGCATGGGTTGCCGTGGTAACAACGTAGGCGTCAGTCACTACGTAGCTACACTGGTGATGCGGATTTCAAACGTGAATGCAGGAGAGATGGAGGAGCATCATCATCATCTCCCCTCCAAACTCCTCAGAACTCTCTTCATCATCATGAATCTTTGGAGCTCTTCTTGAATCCCAGCACTTCATCACTCTGGATTCAACATCGTCGCTGTTTGTCGTGTTGTGAGTGACAAAAAAGACACTCTGAAATCTGATTTCAGCTTCCAGAGCGTCCAGAATGTAAAAATCTGATTGGAGTCGCATTTCAAACCACCTCCAAATGTGGTTTAGATCTGATTTGCAGAAATCTGATTTCTGGTGTATTTTGCTGTCAAGACTATCAAAACTCAATCTGGAAACAATCTGGATATGACAAAAAATAGATTTGGGCTGTCAGTCTGAACACAGCCAAAGTGTAGACCCACACTACACACCAAGGTCATCCACAAACAAAAAAGATCTCAAAAATGGCAAAAATGTTCTTTAACTATTAAACACACAGTGTGTGAGATTTGGGGCTCTATTAGCAGAAATGGACTATAGTAACAAAGCCATGTTCTCATCAGTGTATAATCAGCTGTAGCTCTGAATCGTGTTCTCATTATCTTAGAATGACCCTTCATATCTACATAGGGAGCAGCTCCTCTTCAACAGAGGCGCCATGCTGGGCCTCCATGTTTCTACAGCAGCCCAGAACGGATAAACCAAACTCTGGCTCTAGAGGGCGCCTTTCACGCTTTTACACGAAAGTGGCAACTTAAATTAGGTGGCGCTGTAGCTCCGGCTGACCATTTTGTGAAGCCAAATTCAGAAAAATGTATTATTTAGCACAAGAAAAGCGAGGGAGGGTGAATCCTCAGCAGCAAAGAAGAGAAAACATAAACAGGCGAAACGAAACCGTAGGCTCTACTGCACACTTGGAAAGGGATGTTCTCTGAACACCCCCTGATATATGTGCTGAAAATGAATAACTTGTACGTAATGGCTTTGTACGTTTTCACTAGAACCTAAATAAGTTAAGGGTGGTCCCTATGTCCTACATAGTGCACTATGAAGGAGTTAAAATACTGGCTCCTGCAAACAAACAGCAAATAATACAGCTAACAGTCATTTGGGATTCAGCCACATCCACACTGGACAAACGCACTGTTTTGGCGCAGAAGCCAGAATTTCATAACGTACACAGCTCACTATACAGGAAGGAGAGTTATGAGACTCAGACTGAGTTTAATGTGAGCTGATTCACTAAAATGTGGCCATTTAGAGCGTTTAAGACCTTCAAGTGATTTATCCGCTTTTGCATGTTGCTGTTTTACAGTATTTTAATTCCATGCCTGTGATATTAACGGGGGAGTTGTTTAGCCTGTTAGCCAGCTGATCAGCCCAGTTCTAGCTAAGAAAATAAGTTGCCAAATAGAACCAGGTTCTTACTTCACTCTGTGCTCCATGTAAGCAGCATTACCATCAAATATTACTCCTTTAACAGGCTTTAAAAGGATTTTTCGTAAATTGATGCACTAATTTAGAATTCAACCAATCAGATTTTAGAAGTGGATTTATCTGTTCCATAAAACTGGTCTTATCCACGGTTTTCCTAGACAGCAACTTTTACCATTATGCTTTGGAACGAGAATGGGCACGACTTCCGGTATGCATTTGCTGTTGACCACCGATAGCGTACGGATTAGCTTCAAGGCTAAAGAGATTTATCATTAGCCAGTTATTAAACTGTGCAGCTGGCTAGGTTTCGCTTTTTGGATACAAGAAGATGGCACTCGTATTGCGGTGGCATCACGGACAAGAATGTTTAACAAGAACTGTAAATGGTGTCACCCAGTCTGTTCCTCATCCACTGAACCTGTCCAAAGTCTGGTTTGACGACAAGCTCTGGCCAGATGTCACGCATGTTGACATTATCAGCTACCTTGTTTTTCTGAAGGTGTTGATGAGGAGCTGAGAAACTATAAAAGCACAGAAGCTTATAATCATCTACACAACAATAAAACTGAAGGGTTCTGTGTTAAAACTGTGAACAGTTCACATTTCTCAAAGCTGAGGTTCAGCCAGGCCAGTCGGTCAGGAAACCCAGCTACTCAGCATGGGTTACAGTTCAAAACAACGGTGCAGTAGAGACAGCAGGATGGTCTTGCATCGCTGGTCCGGGCAGATCTTGTAGCCACGTCGCTGCTGTTTTGTGGAAGGTAGGTTAGGGATTTTAAATGAAGCTAGAACACACAGCTGGCTACGATGCATTTACTCTGAGAACCATTATAATTATGTTGCCACAGAAGCCGTAATGGTTTATTAGTTTAGCACTGCAGTAGCAAAGTATTTCGCAGGTCGACTAAAATACTATCTTCGTTTGCTTTGTTCATCAGAATGTATCTCTTATGCGTTTATTATGTTTATGCACATAATGGAAGGAGCAAACATGAATATTTGGGTGGGGATTTTTTAAAATTCAGTGCCGCTAGCCGCGCTGTTTTGGCCTCGTCTTCCTCGGACACTGACATTGTGATCTGTGCTTGCCTTTGTGTTCATAGCTTTCGAGAGCTGTTGTGACTCCATCGACAGCACATAACGTTCCTGTGCTTTTGGGACTGAGTTTGATGGCGTCGTAATTACACTCTGTGAAAAGCATTACACGGAAGTTTAGCCCATTCTAGAGGAGCTGTTGTGACGTCATGGCAACTGCTGTTGAGAATAGAAGAAAACCATGGATATCATGGAGCACTATATTATGTGTGTCTAAACAGTGAGCTTCCTAAAAGTTGGTTTTGAAGAACTGTGGAGGAAACATTTCATCACATCAGGCTGGTTCGTACCTAAACACTTCACGGTTCCCACGGCGTATGCAGAAGCAGCCCGAGGCTTATTAGTGATCAGAGCCAACTCCCCGAAATACTGCCCTCTGGAGCACACGGCGATTTCAGTCTCAGCCTAAGAAGAGAATGAGTGAAAACAGGTGTGGAGAATATCATAATAATGTAAAGGTACCACATTTAGGGCTACATTTACAGCAGACAACATTTCTTTAAAATGAGCAAACAAGGGCTGAATGAGAATTCTCTGGACTGTTGTGAGGACTGTATGAGTTCTACATCATGCAGGTTCTTTCCAGAACACAATGCAACATGCAGAAATGGTGCTGAATGAAGTTTATCACATGCTGATGTACTAGAAATGACACTAGGACCTAAATAATCCGGTGGAAGGCTGGACATGTTTGTGCTCCCATGAGCACCTACTACAGTCAAAATGAGGTCTGTTCAGACACTCGTCAAGATGGTGCAGCATATCTGAGAACAACAAAGAGCCCAGGAAGAAAACACTCCCATAAAGGAGTGCATCTTTGTTTAAGAAAATTTGTTTAGACGTGTTACAACTATTATCAACAGTAATAAAGCAGATGTTTTCTCATATAGAGGAGAGAAATGAACTGATAATGTGAATTTAAAACACTCACCCCCTTCTTATTCATCACTATTCTCACTTGCCCTGATTCAACAATGTAGAAACAGTCAGCACTGTCGCCCTGAGAGAACAGACACACAAACATTTAGACAGACAGACAGACAGACAGATAAATTATACTTTATTGATCTCAAAGGAAATCCAGCAGCCAGTATGAGTCACACAGCACAGTTATTACAATATAAAAAAGAAGAATATGTACAAAAACCCTGTCTACAGGCATATATACAACTAAAAATATACAAAAATATGTAATGGATCTATCCTGAGATAAAAATGACTGTACAAGGAGGCGTCGGTAATGACAATACTGAATAAATATGTGCAGATATTGGTACTGAAATAAGGTGACCAGGTGTGGAGTGTCCAGATGTGCAACATGTGTGATAAAATTTAGGGCTGAATTATCTCTGTACACAGAGCTCCAGGTCAAAAGGGCCTCATTACAGAGAGAGCCGAGATGTCCTGAACATTTTGATATGTAATATGTGGGTATCATGTCATATTCAAGAGCCTTTAAAGGAGAATTTAGGAGCATATTCAAAAATCAAGAAAACCCCTCAGACCTCGGAGGGTTAATACTTATTTATATGTTTACATGAATCTTCACAGAAGCATAATTCAGCTTTTAGTGTGAACCCAGTATGAATCCTGTAGTGCGTTCAGACTCAGCAGGTTTGGCTGGATTTAAACGGGCCCTGGTGTGGACTGCCCTGCGGTCCGTTAGAGCAAGTGAGAACACTTCTATCCGAACTCTGGTGCTCCAAATAAGAGACCAAACTGCTGCTCTGTAACGGTACTGACTGCAGTCGGGCAGCGATGCTGACCTCCCCGAAATATTTCTGTCACTGGTTTGGAGCTACAAAGTATCGAGATTCTCAGCCAATTTGGCCACTTTAGATTTGTAGTTTATTAATTTCATACAGTGAACAAAAAAGAACATCTATTAATCACAATTATTTATATGGCAATCAATCATTAGCTGGAACTTCGATTGAAAAAAAAAAAACAAACAGGCCCCAAATTAAACCAAACTCCAAATAAAACCTTAATCACCTGCGCTATGATCCTCTCACCATCACTGTACGTCTGGCAGCCCAGAACATCCACCACCTTCATTCTCTCCACTGACTGAGGGGAACAGAGAGCAGAAGAAAGCCTGTGAGCTTTCAGTGACACAAACAGGTCAGTTCTGCATAATAGTGAAACTGTAGCCGACCTGTAGGGATTCGAGCAGCGGAACGGACTCAATAAAGGCCTCATACAGCTTCCTCTTCTTGGCGTTGTTCCGGACAATGATCCTTCGGAAAGTCATTCTGTCCTAAATCACAAGAAACCCACACCAAACATTACAAGACGCTTTTAATTTACGCATTAATGCAGAGGTTCCCACTCTCTGTGTAACGGAGTTAAAAATCTGTGTGTGTTATAATTAAACACGTTTCTTCTTTAAAGCTACGTTAACATTACAAGCCTCGTTGCTCAGATTCGATCTCTCTGACTCAATGGTTCACACTCGTTTAGGTAAGGGATTCAAATCTGTCATTAATGTGACGAACCGGCGTCCTGAAATGACCCTCATGAGCTCATCCTACTCAGTAACGTCACGTGAATGAATCACGATCATCATCAGCACAAACTAACGAGCAGAACGAGCTTCGCTGAGAAGATCATTAACTCTGATCAGCTCTCAGCTTCATTATTAGAGCGAGACGAAGGAGAAAAAGGTGAGATGAGCTGCTTTTCCACCGTTTACAGGCTTTAACTTCTGTTCGGCGCTGCTGCCATGGTAACGCTGAATGATGGCGCAGTGGGAAACAAGCACATGAATTCAGATCTGAGCGTCACATTAAGGTCGCACGGCTATGAATCGGATACGTATCCGATCTCAGACCACAAACAAAAGTGGCTCAGGATGGATTTGAAAACATCAGATTTGAGTCACATTAGGGCAAAAAATCAGATTTGTGCCTCTTCAACCTGGTAATGTGAACGTAGCCTAAGACATCCCCTTCCCCTTTTTCCTCTTTAATCTCCTCCCTTTTTAATTTAATCTCATACGAGGAGGTGGGTATCAGATTGTGACCCATGTCTAATTTTTATTAATCTTACATTTTTAAAAATCGCTTAATATGTATGTATATATCGATACTTTTGGAAGAAAAGTTTTTTCTTTTTGTTTTTTTACAGAGTTCGAAAATGCCAGCTGCCCTTTACCACATACTAAAATTTCATGATGAACAGACCAGTACAAAAGCCCCAAAATGACTTGAAAGGAAATCCAGTTCCATTATCTTCCATTCAAGGTTAGGAATGTTCCTTCCTTCTCCTGTAAAGTCAGCATTTTGGAGATACGAGGTTTTGTTCTGACAGCAGCGACATGTTCCTGGGTTCACCATCAACATTTGTGCTGTATCATATTTTTACTGATGGTCAATTTTAGAGTGAATTACTCTTGTGCACATATTGCTTACATCGCACAGCCTGATCCACACAGCGTACCAGCTAAGCTTATTCTTTCATATTCTTTTACATGAGGAGGTAAAAAGAGGAGACAAGAAGCAGAGGCTCGATAACCAATACCAGTGATCAGGTTTGCATAATGTATCAATTTGCTGAAATATTCTCTTGAGCTGTACGGTTATGCTAACACACCGGAGCGCAGTACAGTGACGTCATTACTGTATGCGCCTTGTTGTGCATAAAAGCTAATAGAGATCTACCGACACCACTTTTTCCCTTCTGATAAAGATACTGATACCTCATGTAATATATACACCTGATGTATATTTTGCTGTTGTTGGGAGAAAACCTCATATATCCATTTTTGACGTTTTTTTCAGTTTTTGACATAATTTGAAAATCCCTGTTACCCTTTACATTGTGTGTAAATTTCCTGATGAATGGATTAAAGAAACATCCCAAAATGACTTGGAAAAACGTCTGGTTCCATTCACTTACATTAAAAGTAAGGCATGTTTTTTCCTTCTAGCAGGTTGCTCTGCTAAGGACTAAATCAAGGCTAAAGTCTATCATTACGCTGAGAGTCTGGCGGTTCCTTCTGCTCCCTCAATAACAGTCTGGACTAACATTAACTCAGACTGTAAGGGACCACGCAGCAGCAGAGTGATTACTGACAGAAGCGCTATGAGCATTTTAACTGCTGCTTGTCGTTCCACACCGCTGACGTGGCGTTCTGTCTACTGGCACACATGCACGCATCAGAAATTGCTTCATGGTGTCGGTCATAGGTATCAGTATCCCCACCGCCGATATCGATATCGCATTTAAGTACCAGTATCTGCGGCGATACCGTATAAGCCGAGTGATTATGATCATTAATGAGCTGCTGTTTCTGAATTGTAATTATGTTGTACTGTCTTTGCTACAGGATTTGTCGCCCTTTAGACGTTTGTCTCGCGTGAAGAGTGAGGTGAGATGAAGAAGAAGCAGGGCCTCGCTAATCAATACTAAAGGCTGTATTATTCATTAGCAGAATAAAATCCGCAAGATCAGAACAGAACAGAGTTTCTCTGTCCACCAATTACATCTGCTCCATGAATTCATCTCCTAATCTGAGTGGAATCAGACTCTAACCCTCTAATACCTCATGGGAGTTATGAATGTTGAAGCTGTTTTACTAACCAGGCACCACAGAGCTCCAGCTGAGGTGGCGATGATGGTTGCGGCTCTCGGCGTGTTGTACATCAGGGCCAACTCGCCGAAACTGCCGCGGTTGTTGTAAGTTCCTACCAGCCGCTCCAGGTCATCCACCTTCATATAGATGCTGAATGTCCCCCTGAAAAAAGAACATGTCAGTACTAACACTGACCCAGGGCTTGAGGCCAAAGGCTCTTGAGTTTTGGAATGTTTGTTAGGGTGCGTTATGTTTGTAGTTGGGTTCTCCTGGTCCAGATTAAAGCAGAACATCATTGTGTTGTGGTTCTGGCTTGCTTAGTGTTTAACATTTAACACGAACCAAACGATGTAAACAAAAGTTAATAATGTCCACCAAATCTGTTCTATCTGGACTCACTGGTTTTGTTTATATCTTGTGATATTAGAACGATTAGCTGTGAGACTCCCAGTGTCACCGCGGTGACGACGCAGAACTATATGTTCTATAATTACTGATTCAGAGCTGATGAAAAGATCATAAAACAGCAGAAACTCGTCTTCTCCTCGATCCAGAGAAGTTCTGCTTAGAGGAGGCGCCGGTTCGTTCTGTCTTTGGTCTGTATTGCGTTCACACTTCAAATGTACCGCAGTTTGTTCTGAAGTGAATCGAGACCGCCCTGCTGAGGGGGTCTCAGTCCACTTATTTGGAGCACCAGAGTTCGGATAGAAGTGTTCTCACTTGCTCTAACGGACCGCAGGGCAGTCCACACCAGGGCCCGTTTAAATCCAGCCAAACCTGCTGAGTCTGAACGCACTACAGGATTCATACTGGGTTCACACTAAAAGCTGAATTATGCTTCTGTGAAGATTCATGTAAACATATAAACAAGTATTAACCCTCCGTGGTCTGAGGGGTTTTCTTGATTTTTGAATATGCTCCTAAATTCTCCTTTAAAGGCTCTTGAATATGACATGATACCCACATATTACATATCAAAATGTTCAGGACATCTCGGCTCTCTCTGTAATGAGGCCCTTTTGACCTGGAGCTCTGTGTACAGAGATAATTCAGCCCTAAATTTTATCACACATCTTGCACATCTGGACACTCCACACCTGGTCACCTTATTTCAGTACCAATATCTGCACATATTTATTCAGTATTGTCATTATATGCCGTTACCTGCGCCTCCTTGTACTTTCATTATTGCACTGCCTTTTTATCTCAGGATGGATCTTATTGCATATTTTTGTATATTTCTAGTTGTATATCTGCCTGTAGATGGTTTTGTGTACATATTCTTCTTATATTGCACCACCCTTATTGTTATAACTGTCCTGTGTTGTGTGACTGATACTGGCTGCTAAATCTATCTATCTATCTATCTATCTATCTATCTATCTGTCTGTCTGTCTGTCTGTCTATCTGTGTATCTATCTGTCTATTTACATGTCTGTCCATTTGTCTATCTATCTCTCTATCTCTCTATCTATCTGTAAATCTATCTGTGTATCTATCTGTCTATTTACCTGTCTGTCTATCTGTGTATCTATCTGTCTGTCTGTCTATCTATCTATCTGTCTGTCTATGTCTGTCTGTCTGTCTGTCTGTCTGTCGGTTTGTCTGTCTATCTATCTGTATCTGTATCTGGTTTTACAAATGTTTAATATCACTTGTGAAAGCACAGCTTTACTCACGTGGACGAACTGTTTTGGTGTTGAAATGTGTTTTCCGAAGTCATAAAAGTCGTGGAATGTATGAATAAAATAGTAGATAAATGTTCTCATCACTACTTTCTGCTGCAACTTCAGCAGCTGTAAATATTTTACACACCACTTGCGTCTGTGTACGAGGCATCTGAACGAAAAACGTTTTCAACGTGATGGTCAGTCCTTAGTGATTTCCTGAGTGTCCGTTGGTCAATTTCACACAGAATGTAGATGGACACACCAATCCACCAGTTCCACACGGTGAGAGGCAGATGACGTGTATCTCAGCCCCTCTTCATAGGCTCATAACTCCGGATGTGAGTCTCGTATGATCTCGTGATAAGATGGAATGGAAAGGGCGACTCTACAGATTCAGGAAGTGTTTGAACTGGATTTCTGAGCTATATTAACACAAAGACATTACTAGAAACATCTAATTTGACATGCCGGCGCATTCATCGACCCCAGAGGAGGGTTAAAAGAAAGAGTGAAGTGAGTAAGAGTGAGAAAGAGTGAAGTGAGTAAAGGGCTGTGCCGATAACCGCATCACCGCAATACCGCAGTCATGTGAGGACCCACTGTGGGGTTAGAGAGGTTCAAGGCACGGTTCTTCTGTGGTCTCATTGAAAGGAACTTTTCCCTTTTAGCAGTTTTACTTGTAAGAGTGTACGAGAACAGTTCTAACTCAGTTCTAACCTCTCAATGACATAAAAATTATCCCCGTCGTCATCCTGCTCGATGATGTGCTCCCCCACTTCCACACGTCTCTCAAACATGGCATCCAGAACCTGAGACATCTGCTCCTGTCAGAACCATCAAGAAGAACCAGAGACACAGCTGTCATAACAGATTTATAAGATTGTGCAAGCATGTTAAACTCAGAGGAACCACTTTTGGTTCCCCTAAATAAAACTGTCTGTGAGATGCCCTCAAAAGGCATTTGTGAGTGTTAAGAAATTTTTAAAGGCTTCTCATTATGTAAATATCAACTGAGGACACTTCCTAGACTTTTACAGATGTTCTTCACACTTTCATCTTATTTACAAATATTATTCTCTTTAGAACCATCCAGTGAGCGGTTCTCTACAGCACCATGCAAAGACCCTTTTGTGCTGCCTTTACTTTAAAGATGGTAGGTGTACAAATGCAGACTGCAGTCCATCTTTATTAGCCCCCCTCACTCCCCAGCACCCCCCACCCCAACACGAGGGGTCTTTATTCGGAACCTTGAATCCAGTTTCCAGTCCTGGACTTTGTTTAGGGGGAATTTCACCATTTCTTCAAATTTTCTGCATAATTAAGTGGTTAAGACGTAATCAGAGCGGTTCAGAGTGGTTTGGTGTGAAACGCTCTGTTCTAGATAAACTTACAGAGTCAGAACTGTTCACAGTGGTGGTGATAGGAACCAGACGTCCACCTCTAAAAGCTCCCTCACAGGAAGTGGTAATGAACTCACTGCCTGATGACTGAGACACTGTTTTTGATGGTTTTCAGACGATTTTGGCCAAAAGTGTATTTTTAAAAAGCCACTCGTGACAGAGGGGTACAGCAGTTCAGTGAGTACGAAATCCAGGACTGGAAACTGGATTTGTGCTACATCTTTCATCACCGATTGGCTTCTGACCACAGGACTGCTGTTATCCAGATATCATTTGGGTGATGGTCCACTGTCAGCACAGCAGTGACACCGATATGGTAGTGTGTGTGTTGCTGTCACGGCTGGGTTGAGGGGGGACCGTCCATCCGAAAATATCCAGACAAGAGAGGCTCTGTGGTCAGAAACTGACCACTGATGAAGGGCTAGAGGATGGCTTATGCAAACTGTACACCAGCAAGATGGATCCTCATAGCAGGAAAGGTCTAATAATGTGAAATATCGCTCAATAGTATAAATATTTGAGATCTGTTTTCAATGTCTGACAGAACATCCTCCTCACTGCAGCCCCGCTCAGACACTCACTGTGTCCAAGTTCTTAAAGAGTAGGATGTGTTTGCAGGCCTCCTGTAGACGGTGTCTCTGCTCGTCTGTTTTGGGGTGGACGATCTGGAGAGAGAAAATCAAAACAGACTCACAACAGTCTGACGCTCAATGCACTGGATGTATATTTGTGGGCTAAATTACAATCCCTCAACAGCGACGTCAGTGCAGAACTCTTACCCTGGGCTCCCGGAGCTCCTCATCTTCATCATCAGGATTGTATGTTTCTGCAGATACTACACACACACACACACACACACACACACACACACACTGGATTTAATACATTTAAGTAAGTAAGTTTTATTTATAAAGCACTCTTAAAACAACTTGCGTTGACCAAAGTACTGTACATCAAATCAGCACACACATAAACAACACAAGAGATTAAAATATAAAAATAATAAGAAGAGTTACGTAAAATAGGGAAGAAAAAAAAGTGAATAAAAGAGATAAAAGAGTAAAAGAGAAATAAAAAACAGATGAGTAAAAAAAAGACTTAAAACACAGACTTTAACATGTATAATTAGCACAGGCCCTCACTATTCAAATGCAAGTTTGTATAAATATGTTTTTAGTCTTGATTTAAAAACAGCGATTGAAGGTGCTTTGGCGAACAGTGGGAGGTAGAATGTTCCATAGTCTCGGAGTGTAGACTGCAAACGCACGACCACCGTTAAGCTTCAAACGAGCCCATATAGGAACAGCCAGCAGGTTCTGCGAGGATCATCTCAAAGCTCGCTGTGTGGTAGAGGGAGTCAGCATACTGCCGACATACGAGGGGGCCTCACCAATAAGTGCTTTAAAAACAAATAAAAGCACTTTGAACTGTATCCTGAACTGGACAGGCAGTCAATGAAGTGAAGCGAGTAACATGGTCTCTTTTCTTGGCTGCTGCATTTTGGACTAACTGTAAGCGCTGCAATAGAGACATGTTAATCCCAATATGCACAGAGTTACAGTAGTCAATTCTAGATGAGATGAATGTATGAATATCTTTCTCCAGGTCAGAAAAACAGAGAAAAGGCTTAAGCTCTGCAATGTTTCTGAGCTGGAAGAAGCTCCTCCTCACCACAGAGCTGATTTGTTTATCAAATCTGAGGTCCGAGTCAAAGATAGCACCAAGATTTCTCACAGAAGTCTTGAACATGGGGACAAATGACCGAGGCTATTGGAGACACCATGAATGTGATGAGGACCACCAAAAATAACAACCTGTGACTTGCCTTCATTTAACACTATGAGCACTATATAAAGCAAGATTTTACCTCTTGTAATGTTATGATGAGCACAAAATATCCCACATCTGCTCTACTAATGCTATTAGCTTCAATGAAAAATCTGACATCTATATATGATAAAACATGGCCTAAAAACCGCTGATCAGATCTGTCTGAGAACTGTGTGGGCGTGGCTAATGAGCAGTTTGACTGACAGCTGTCTGTCCAACACTCCTAGCCTGCTCCGCCCCTCATACAGAACTACCGTCATTATCCAGCTTTTATGTGATGCAAACTGGATGAAACAAAGTCGCGGACGAACAGATGGACAGATGAAATGACGCATGACTGAAGGAGCGAACGAGCGAACAATGTTGGTGTTGATAAACGAGTGAACAGGCGACAGGCAGCCACAGACAGGTGGTCTAGCTTGCTAGCTTTTGGCTATGCTGGGTTAGCATTAGCTTGCTAAGCTTCTCTGACTCTGAAACTGTTGTGTGGGCGGGGCCAGAGACGCAGCCTTGTGATTGGTCAGGGGAGTGCTTATGGAAGCGTTACCCAAGATTAGGACCGCCCAGTATTATTTTTAATTGGTTCTTTTTTCTCTGTTCTGATCAGATGTCTAAAAAAATAAATATTGTGGCATTTTGTGTATCGTAAAAAATTCTTGAAGTATCGCGATATCAGATTTTTACCATATCGCCCAGCTTTTATTCACACTCCAGTTTAACTGCTATTAAGTGATACTGCTGCATTATATTTGATAATATACTGCAGGTCAAGACAAACGTGTTTCTGTTTGTGAACTACACGCTTAAGATGGTTCTTAGAAAAGGCAATGGTTCTATTTAGAACCACGAGTTCTCTGTATAAACATTTACATGCTTAAATGGTTCCTTGCATGGTTAAAATACGTCTGCAGATTGATGGAGAATGTGCTGTATATCGTTCTCCATAGCACTAAAAAGTGCTTTGTACTACACTGTAACAATCAAAGAAGCTTTTGGTGCTGTATAGAACCATTTTCAAAAAGGTTCTCTAAAAGAACCATATACAACACATATTCCATCAATCTGAAGAACTATTTAACCATGTCAAGCACCATACAAGCATAAAGTGGTTTTATATATATATATATATATATATATATATATATATATATATATATTCTTTACTAAAGAACCCATAAAGAACCTTCTTTTTAAAGAGTGCACCTAGAAGTCGAGCCTGATTCAGTTCAGAGTCGATCTACTGAGCGATGAATCAGTGAATCATGAACACCTGGCAGGAAGGGCGCTTCATGAGTTCATCTCTGAGATAATATAATCTTTCCCAAACGCTGATACACACACAGCCTAAACAACACGCAAGGCACGGAAGTTGGGTCTGTTTATCAGGATTGTGTAAGTTTATTTTTATCTATTTATACTTTGATTCGTCCGCGCTTGTGAATCGGTTCATCACTCACTGAAGTTTAAAGGAGTCGTTCGGTTTCGTTTGATCCATCGCGGGATAAAACCTAACTAACGTTAGCTTGGATTGACTTTAGTGCTTATAGGGACTTAGATGATCGTACCTGAAACTCTTCTGGTAAGTCTGTTGGCCACCGGTCCTATAATTCAAAAACAAATCGACAAGTTAACAAAACAGCTCGCTTCCTATATGCAAGCTTCCCGTTCCACCTTAAATGGTGCAGCAGCTACATTCTGACGCCTGAGGCGTTATAGTAACGGCTGCACCATTTAAGGTGGAACGGGAAAATTCGAGCAAGAAGCTGTCGAATAGGAAGTTTAAAGCCTGTGTGGCTTCAACTGATCTCGTTTAAATAAAAAACGTTCATGTTTGCTGTATCACCCACCGACGAGCTCCTCGTCCTCCTCTCCGTCCCTCTCAGCGTCAGGCTCGGTAAAACTGACCACCGCCCCCGGCCGCGCAGCAGCCGGAGAGGGCAGAGATTCAGACGAGCCGCCGCCTCGATTCTGATTCTGATTCAGCCGCTGGAAGTACTGCACAGAGAAGTCCAGCAGGTCTCTGGGCTGATTCCGCAGCACCTCCACTGTGAAGCGGACCAGCAGCTCCTCCAGCCCGGCGGGGATCTCTATACTCATCTTCTCCACTGGACCCGGAGAGGTTCCGCTGCAGAACCGGGAGATTCGCCTCAGAGTCCCACAAAGCGAGTAAAACCTGCACCAGCAACACTCCGCTGGGTTTAACGGCCCTGAGGCAGCGCTGGTCACGTGACCACAGAACCCACAGCAACAGCCAATCAGAAGTGAAGAGCACACCAAGCCCGCCAAGTTAGCCAAGTTAGCTCGCTGTGCATCTGTCTGAATACATACATATATTTATATTTATATGTGTGTGTGTGTGTGTGTATACATACGTATATATAACTTAGAAACACTTGTATGTATATACATATAACTTAAGTATTATATATATATATATATATATATATATATATAACACTTAAAAAACACTAATCAAATATAACTGCATATTTGATTAAAGACAGAACATAGTCTTATATATGTGAAATACTGATATATATATATACACACACACACACACACACACACACACACACACATATCCAGTCCACCCCTGAACTGAACTGATTTCCTTTAGAATTAACTCAGCATTTTTGCATATCGTCACTGTTCAACTGAAAAATTAAAAATAGTGTTTCCATTTTTTGCGTTTTTTTATTTTTCCAGCTGTCCTTTATATTGTGCGAAAATTTCATGATGAATGAAACAACATTACCAACATTAAAATCTCTCTACATTAATGTACATTCAAAGTTAGGAAGGTTTTGCCCTGTAAAATGACCAATTTGGAGATGCTGGTTTTTCTTTGGACAGCGTTGATATAGACCCTCCTCAGTCCCGAGCCTGGATACTTCAAAAACAGTGATTTGTTAAGAAATATGTTTTCTGCAGCGTACTAAATTATTTATTTAATTTATTTATTTATCTGGATATTCTTTATGGACATTTGGACTTGAAATGTGAGTTTTTGAAAAATGAACACATTTATTATCACCAACATAACCAGAAACAAAGTGAGCACTGAAGTGTTTCTGTGTTCACTGTGTGCAGCTGTATGAAAAAGTTTCTGAACTTGTGGAACAACCTGGACTCCTGCATGAACAACCAAAATATTAAATACTTTTAATGATCATTTTTATGTCGTAATGAACAAAGAGCTTTTTAATCCAAAGTATATATACTGACTTACTATGTCTAAAATTAACAACATGGTGGAGTCACTCGAGGCGTTTTTGTTTGGGTCTGATATCCTGATGATAATCAATATGTTTATTTTTCCAAATCTTTCAGATTTAATGTGCCTAATTCCAAAGTCCAGTGTACTACACAGCAAAATACACTGAAATCACAAACAATATTATCCCCAAAAAACGTAGAAAAAAGAAGCTTTGGTTTGCGTTTTGTAATGCATGAGTCTATTCCCCCTATCAAAGCTTGACAGGATATTCAATTTTATCTCATTTTTTGTGTATGTAGAAACGAATATCTACTGTTTCCCTTTTTATTTTTCACAAGAGCGTCCTTCAAGAAGGACATACAAAAACAATTCTGAAATAAATACAAGATCATTCAGGAGCACTAGGTACAAACCCAATCCCAAAACAGTCGGGACAGTGGGCACTGCAGTCAGACAGCGCTGCATTAAAAACCAGCATGTTTCTGTGATGATATAACCACATGGGCTCGGGAACACTTTGACAAACCGTCGTCAGTAAACACAGTCATTCACTGCAAATGCAGGTTAGGACTGTACTCAGCGCAGTGGAAGGAACGTCCAGAAACGCCGCTGACTTCTCTGGGCTGGAGCTCATCTGAAATGGACTGATGCTCAGTGGAAACGTGCATTGTGGTCTGATGAGTCCACCTTTCAGATTGTTTATGGAAATAATGGACGTTGTGTTCTCCAGGCCAAAGAAGAAAAGGACCCTTCAGATTGTTACCAGCGTAAAGTTCTAAATCCAGCGTCTGTCATGGTGGGGGGTGGTGGTGGGGGGGGGGTATTAGTGGGTAACCTGCACATCTGTGAACGCATCATTAACTCTGAACACCGTTTGGAGCAACATGCTGCCTTTTAGACACCGTCTTTTTCAGGGACGTCCATGCTTATTTCAACATGACACACTAAGAAAAATTCTGCATGAGTTACAGCAGCATGGCTGCAAAATCAGAGAGTGCAGGTACTAGACTGACCTGCCTGCAGTCTAGAACCGTCATGCACTAAAAAATGTGTCTTATTGAGAACAAAATACGGCAACAAGCGCTTCGTTTGGTTGAACAGCTGAAGACTTGTACAACAGAAGAATGTCAAAAATATTCCACTTTCAAAAACTGGATCAGTTTGCGTCTTCAGTCCTCAAATGATTAGGTGCTGTTAAAGGAAGGTGATGCAGCTCAGGGGTAAACATGCTCCTTTCAACTTTTTTGGAACATTTAGCAGCTGTCAAACTCTGAAAGAGCTTATATATACAAAAAACAATGTTTTTTTAAGGTAAAACATCAAATAATGTGTTTTTGTACTGTTTTCAATTTAAAACTGGTCAAACAGAATTTACTAATCACTGTTTTCTGTTTTTATTAGCATTTCATACACTGTCCCAACATTTTTGTAATTGGGTTTGTATGTAACAGTGTAGGTCTCCACTCTTTTATCATCTTTTTAGCACGCTTCTTGATTAACAGCACTGTTGAGTAAAACTGGACTGAAAGGCGTTCACTTAGTCTTATTTCACCTCATAAAATCATAATCATAAAATATTTGGTGGGAGAAACACAAGTGGAAAAGTTTGAGAACCTCCTGGCATTAAATGCACAAGCATAAAATTCTAAATGATGTAAATTAATATAGGTGAGTTTATTTCTATAGCACCTTTCATACCCTGCGGTCATTCACCGCGTAACAAATTAAAGAAGAATAGAAATTAGAAACATAAAACATGGGAAAAAAGATTTTAAAATAAAAAAAAAAAATTAGAATAATAAATTTAGAAAAAAATGAAATTAGAATAATAAAGTATCAGTTATTGATCTCATCTAGAGCGTATTTACATTCTAAGGATCAGACCGAAGGATAAATGTGCTGAAATCTTTTATGTTCTGATGGAGTCAAAGTGTAAGAATATTCAGGGTGTGCTGATATGTATATTTCACAATACGATATGAAGTGAAACAGAAATGCCAACATTCATTTTGTCTTTGTTTGTTTATTTTTGGTCCAATTATCAAACATGATTGCACAGTCTGTTAAACAGTTAACACGTTCTAATTTTCTCAGATGATAAATACGTTTAAATACAAATATGTTTAGGGGGCGGGGCACTTTCATGGTCGTCTCATTTTGGAATATCATGGAGTGTTTTTGCGGAAACCAAAAATCTCACAACAATGTATCCAAACATGAGTATTAATAAACCATATAAAAATCCTTAAATATATGCTGCTTGTAGATGGTCTACAAGCCTGTTCAGAATAAAAACATGATGGATCAAAGTCAGGCAGAATTACGGGCTGATTTGTTTACTCTTATCAGAAGAGGAGATACAGCTGAAGAGTCAAATATGACTAAAAAAAACTTGTTTTTGCATCAAGAAAATAATTCTGTACTTCATCCAGCCTTAAGATCTCACCACGCAGGTTCTTATTGTTAAATAACAGCCAATATTCAGTAATCACCCCAGACAGTGAGCATACATCGGTCTGCTGGCTTGGTAAGTTCAGCCCCATGCTGACCGGACAGTTTTTAATCTCCTCAAACAGATATTAAATGCACAGAGACTTTTATTTTGGAAATTACACTAGGACAAATATTACAAACTGCAAGAAAAATAATTAAAGACTAGTTCTCATATAAAGTGTTGCTGACGCTGTGCTAAATGGTTACAGCTGTATAACCGTCTTTGATTTTGCTGTTAAACTTATTTACTCAATTAATTTACAAAGAATAACAAATTAAAGAAACAAAGGAAAACTTCATTTTTACTTCCGGTCAGCGGCGGGGGGTGTCAGTGGGCCAACAGTGGGTGCTATCCTCTTACTATCTGGGTCTGGCATTTACACAAAAACATCCTCGCTGTCCAAACAAAAACAAGTATCTCCAAAATGGTCATTTCACAGCAGAGGGCAAAAGCACTCTTTACTCTCAATGTAAGTCAATGTAAAGATTTTTAATTCAAAGCTGTTTCAGAGCATCACTGCTGGACCAAAAGGACAGCTGCTGACTAATAATTAATCATGCACAAAACTAAAAATCACAAAAAACGGATTTTTTGGGACAGCAGTGATATATTAATTTATTCTAAAACTGTCCCCTTCCCTTCCGTGACTCTGTCGATAATAAATGAAATACTGTGTGCAGAAGATAATGATACGCCCAACGCACGTCATATTCAAATAAGCAGAAATACGAGTTATGTAAATATGTGCAGACAGTTTGATTCTCCAGAAGCAAACGAGCTCACATGTTCTTTGGATGTCAGCAAAGTTAAAGGGCAATGCCACCGGTTTTTAAAAATTTCCCGTATAATTGTGTGTGTGAGATGTAAACAGAGTGATTCAGAGTGGTTTGGTGTGAAATGGTAGAGACTCTTTCTTTACAGTGGTGCTGAGTTTATATGGAATGTTAATGGTGGAAAATCTGAAATAATAAGTTTTCTTTGGGGACTATTTTGCCTCACAGCGCCCTGCATGTATCCCTCCACCATGAATGGAGTTTAAGTTCTCTAAACTATCATAAAACAGTGTCTCAGTCATCAGGCAGTGAATTCATAACCATTTCATGTAGGAACTTTCTGTGAGGAGCTTTTAGAGGTGGACATCTGGTTCCTATCACCACCACTGTGAACAGTTCTGACTCGGTAAGTTTATCTAGAACAGAATCATTCACACCAAACTACTCTGAACCACTCTGAACCGCACTGAACCACTCTGAACCACTCTGAACCGCGCTGAACCACTCTGAACCGCACTGAACCACTCTGAACCACTCTGAACCGTGCTGAACCGTGCTGAACCACTCTGAACCACTCTGAACCACTCTGAACCGCGCTGAACCGCGCTGAACCACTCTGAACCACGCTGAACCACTCTGAACCACTCTGTTTACATTGTTTTATTTATGCACAAATTTTGGGTTATTGGTGGAATTCTCCTTTTACTATAAATGTAATTATTCATGACATTGCTGGTATTCATGGAGCTTGTCTACACTACTGTGCAATAATAATGGGCCGAGCCCACAATGGCAAAAACATTAAGCTTTTTAATGGCATTAAATCATTAATCAGTAAATTAGCAAGAGTTAAATAAACAGATGCAGTCAGTCAGGAGAGCTTTTCACTCTTTAAAAGGTTCTTTAAAAGAAGTTTTGTGTGTAAATTTCTTTTACAGAAAGAAGAGTCAGTATTGATCCACTCAGCATTGACGGCTTCAAACAGCTGAAAAACACTGCTGAGCTAGTTTGAGTTCAATGTGAGACCAAATATTCTCTATACACACTTGATGATTCATGGTTCTCTAGTAAAGGGAATGGTTCTGTTTAGAGCCATGAGTTCTGTATAAACCATCTGCATGCTTAAATCAATCTTTGCATGGTGAAATCGTTATTCAGATTGATGGTTCTACATAGCACCAAAAAGGGTTCTGCTATTGTTACGATGTCAAGCTTGACACAACAGAAGAGCCATTTTTGGTGCTAGAACCGTTCATCAATCTAAAAACCATCTCACCATGCAAAGATCAATTTAAGCATGAAACGGTTCTATGTAGCTCCAAAAAGGGCTCTTCCGTTGTGTCAAGCTTGACATCATAACAATAGCAGAGCGCTTTTTGCTGCTACGTAGAACCATATTCAAAAAGGGTCTACACAGAACCATATGCAACACACTCTCAATTTGAAGAACCATTTCACCATGCAGAGAATCCTTTAAGCATGCAAAGGGTTCTCCGAGTGTTCACGGTTCTATATAGAACTATTGCTTATACTAAAGAACCCCTGGAGAACCATCTGTGTTGTGTAGGGTTTACGTCTGGCTTGGCCCATTCTTTGCTCGAGAGAGAACATCATGTGTAAAAGTTAAGTTCTAAAGGTGCTGTAATGTGAACACTATAAATACGCACTGTTTTCATATATTTTGATGTGAAATGTAAGAAGGACCAGAATTTTCTTGACTGGATTTTCATCCCGAATATCTAGTAATAAGGAGGAAAGGGGGCGGTTCTACTATTTACACAAAATCTCCACACTTTTCTATAAAGAAACCAACCTGAGTTATATTTCTACATCTGTTCAATCCAATAACCAACATTGCACGATTAAAAACTGCCACAGAAGACAAAACAGCTAGTTTTGGTTCCTTAATCGGCCTTTCACCTGAGGTGTTCAAGAAAGGAACCAAAAGTGCTTCTCCTGTGACTGCAAGGAACCCTTCTGGCTATAGTTCATTAAAAAGCTACACTCTGATTAGAGGTGGGCAATATGACAATATTTATCGCTATTGTGAAAGATGACATCACAATATGCTTTTCTGATCACATAATCAAAATGATGGTTCTTCAAAGGTTAGTAAAGAAAATGGTTCTAAATAGAACCATGAACACTCAAAGAACCCTCTGCATGATTAAAGGGTTCTTTGCATCGTGAAATGGTTCTTCACATTGATGTAGAATGTGCTATAGGCGGCACTTTGTAGATTGTTTTTGAAAAGGGTTCTATATATCACCAAAAAGGTTCTTCTGTTGTGCCAAGCTTAACAAAAGTAGAACCCTTTTTAGTGCTATATAGAACCATATAGAAACATTCTCCATCAATCTGAAAAACCATTTCACCATGCAGAGAACCATTTAACCATGCAAAGAGTCAGACTAGAACCTCAAAGCTCGGGACTTAACTTGGACTCAAACCCCCGAGACTCAGGACTTGACTCAGATTTGGATCTCAGAGACTTAAGATTGGACTTGAATTTGAACTCCAGATACCCAAGCTCGACTCAGACTCGCATTTCAGAGACTCGAGACTCGACTCAAACTCGAACCTCAGTGACTAGAGATTCGACTTGGACTCAAACCGCAGATACTCAAGACTCAACTTGGACTCAAACTCCAGTGACTTGAGACGTGACTCAGGTTCCAACTCCAGAATATGAGACTTGGGTTTCAAGTCTGATTCCAGCCTGAAGTCTCTGGGACTTGACTCGGACCCAAACCCCAGTGACTCAAGTCTTGACTTGGACTTGAACCCCAGAGTTTCAAGACTCAGGGTCCTAGAGTTAGAGTTCGATTCCAGGCTGAAGTCTCTGGAATTTGAAACTCAAAACTTCAAAAACTCAAAATTGGATTCGAACCCCAGAGACTTGAGATAATCGGATTTGACTCGTGTCCAAGTGACTCGAGACTAAACGCAGACTTGAACCCCAGTGACTCAATTCGGACTCGCCTTAATATTTTGGCATACTGCCCACCCCAAACCCTGACCTGTTTTAAAAATGAAATTGGCTGATAAAATACTCTTAAAAAAGACTTGGCTGGTTCATGGTGTCTCTTTGCCATGGCCAGGTCAGGCTGACCGCTTCTCTACTCCTTGCTTAATGCCAAGCACCAAGTGCAGGAACCAGTTGAACTGCACCGTCCAGCCTTTGTCCCGACAGATCTCGATCTGATCCAGAAAGTGTCTCTGAGCCTCATCTTCTGTGCAGCCCACAGTCAGAGCCTCTCGGATGTACTCGATGTCCTCCTTGCTGGTCAGCTGGGGCATGCCAGTCATCAGCATCATGGAGAACAAGATGATCAGCAGGTTGGTGTGGTGCCGCAGGGCCAGGTAGGCCTTCACGCAAACGTCCTGCATTGAAGAGAAAAGCAAAACGTTTACAGAACACAGAGGAAAACGAATACGGTCTAACTGAACGATGTCTAGAACAGTGAGCTTCTGCACCTGAAACTTCAGGAAATTCGGGCTGCTCTTCTTTCCTGTCGTTCCCATCACGTAGAGAAAATCAGGGGTCAAAACGAAGGGCACCCGTTCCTTGCTTATGCCCAGAAAGCTCTTGTAGTTTCCGAGGATGTGTCCGAAGTCAATGTGGAAAAGGTTTCCTAAGTGCAGATTCAACACCTCAAAAATTGTGCAACTAACTAGATTTAAATGAGCAAATAACAGGAAAATGTTCACGAGGACTTTTTGCTATCTGTCAAAAACACACATTGATACATGCTGCTGGCTTGTTGCAGGTTTGTAAGGTCGGCGTGAGCCTGAAACTCATTCTAGCATGGCAGCTCATGAGTGAAAACTGCTGGTGGTTGATGTTCTTTTCCATAAAATGAAGCAAAAAATAGTTTTAACCAAATAAGTCGTCGCAGGCTGTTGTTCTAGAGCTTTAGAGATGATTGTACAGCTCTGGATGCAGGCTGTTGTTCTAGAGCTTTAGAGAAGATTGTACAGCTCTGGATGCAGGCTGTTGTTCTAGAGCTTTAGAGATGATTGTACAGCTCTGGATGTGAGCTGTTGTTCTAGAGCTTTAGAGATGATTGTACAGCTCTGGATGCGAGCTGTTGTTCTAGAGCTTTAGAGATGATTGTACAGCTCTGGATGCGAGCTGTTGTTCTAGAGCTTTAGAGATGACTGTACAGCTCTGGATGTGAGCTCTTCTAGATCCTGAGATTTCAAAGTACTTCTCATACACTGTTCTGTGTTGGTGTTTATTGTCTGTCACCGCATCATTTTTATTGATATCAATTTTAAAAGATGCATTTTTGATGGATACCAAAATGTCCTTGTGAGCGCCCCCTAACAGCGGCATCAGTTTTAATCGAGTCAGAATCACTGATGGTTCATCCTAGTGAATCATCAACAATTACGCTCCTAATTTGCTGCATTATCATAAAGATGCTATACTGCTCAGGCTGCAATTACAGGGTTTAGAAAGAAAGAAAAATAAAGCCGTGATGAAGCAGGAAACCTGAGGAAACTGTCTGCTTCAGTTAAAAAAGAGCAGTGGCTCTACTTCTGTAGTGAGAAGAAACAAGTATTCACCTCTGTTTTTGTTCTTTAATATACTGTCAGTGTATAAATGCACTTTAAACTTAAACACACAGACTTTGTACTTGTAAACATGAATCAGTAAAGTATGTATTAGGGGTGCAACGATTCTCCAAATTCACAGTTCAGTTCAGACCTCGATTTTTTTGTTTCTTTCTTTTTGTAGGGGGAGGGGTGGGGTTTATAAGAAAAACAGGGAGATTTTATTACATCACCCACAAGTTGGAACACTAAAGAACATGGTGTACAGCTCGCCCTTACTTTACATAGACTCATTTACATGTCATTGTGTTAACTGTGCAGTGAAGAACAGGCTGCACCGGCAGCGGGTCGGGGGGGGGGCGGGACTGGAGACTGTGCACGTCTGTACTGCGGTTTCAGTCTCGGTTTCAGAATCATTAGACCCCTAATATATATGCACAAACAAAGACATGATTAAAACAGTGCTGGCCATTACAGCTTCGAGACGTCTACAGTAAGAAGTACTTCGCTTTTTTGCAGCGTTGGGTTCAGTTTTGGCTCATTCCTCTCAGAAACCGTCTTCAGCTCCCCAAAGATTAAAGGGTCCTTCTGATGGACTCGCAATTTCAAAATCCTCCATAAATTTTTAGTGGAATTGAAGTCAGATTAGCTAGTCCATGAAGCACCTTCGCCTTCTTTGTAGAAACCAGTCGTGAGTTATTCTGGCTGCATGTCTGGAGTTGCTGTCTTGCTGAAACTTCGATTTTCTCCCCAGATTCTTTTTTGTTTGTTTGTTTTTGGCATGTTTTCCCAGTTTTCTTCCCAATTCCACCCACCAGCATAATACACTCTTAAAACAGGTGGTTCTTCGAGCGTTCTTCAGTAAAGACAATGGTTCTATATAAAACCACAAACACTCAAAGAACTCTTTGCATGATTAATCAGTTCTTTGCATGGTGATACGGTTCTTCAGACTGAATGTGAGCCCTTTTTGAAAATGTTCTATATAGAACCATCTACAGCCTGTTCTCTATTAACCTGAAGAACCCTGTCATGATGCGAAGAACGCTTTGATCTTGCAAAGGGTTTTTCTGAGTGTTCACGGTTCTATACAAAACCATTTTCTTTACCAAAGAACCCATCTTTTTTAAGAGTGTAGAGGTGAAATGGTTCATCAGATTGATGGACAATGTGCTGTATATGGTTCTATATAGCACCAAAAAGCGTTCTTCTATTGATGTCAAGCTTGTAACAGCAGAAGAATCCTTTTGGGTGCTATATAGAACCATATACAACACACTGTCCATCAAACTGAGGAACCATTTCACCACTAAGCATGCAAATGGTTCTTCACGTGTCCATGGTTCTACATAAACGGTATATGGTTCTTGGTGGAGAGCACTAACTGCCAGTTTAGTTACGTCAGCTTACAGACGCATCCTGCTGGGTGATGGGGGGAGCGAGAGAACCGTCCTACCTGCCCAGAGAGAGAATGAGGCCAGTTGTGGTTTCTGGGACTCTCGGCCGCAGACGGCTGATCTGACGTTTAGAGGCTCAGGTGCCAATCAGGAGGCGCAGGATTCAGTTTCTTGGCTGAAGAGATTAAATTCTCCTCTAATTTCTCCCTCCGTTCATGTTTCCTTTGATGGCGTTTGATGCTCCAGTAAGAGAAGCAGCTCCGTATCATGATGCTCCCACCTTCGCACTTCACTGTGGGAGTTCTTGGGGTCAAACGCTTCTCCTTTCTCTAAACACATCGAGCTGAATTACGGCCAAAGAGTTCTGTTTTTGTTGTGTCTGATCAGAGAACATTGTTCCAGAAGGGTTCTGACTGTCTAAACACTCGGGTGCACATTTTAGACGCTTCATTGCTTCTTTTTTGGGTGGGGTGTAGGAGCCTGCGGTGCAGCTCAGTGCTCATTGTTTTCTGTGTAATTGTTGTTCTGCTGCGTTCAGCTAGTTTTTCTTTTTCTGCAGCTTTAAACGTATACGCACTGATATATATGGAATGAACTTTAATATATATACAATGAACTTTGATATATATTGAAAGGACATTGATATGTATGGTGTGAATGCATATATTCAATAAACTTTCAAATATCGCTGTTGTCGGAAGAAAACATTGTATCTCCAAAATGGTAACTTTACAGGAGAAGGAAAAAACATACTTTACTTTTAATGTAAGTCAATGGAACCAGACTTTTTTCCAATCATTTTGGGTCGTTTCTCTTGGTCCATTCATCATGAAATTTACACACAACGTAAAGCGCAACATGCATTTTTAAATTACATCACAAACTGAAAAATGACAAAAATGGAGATACGAGGTTTTCTGATGTGAAAATCTGATATACAGCGCTCATTATATGGACTGATATAGACTGAACATTGGGATTAACACAATCAATTACTAATTATTTATTAATTGAATGTTTATATATGTATAAATTACTATCTGTGGTTTCACACCTTTTACAGCCTCTCTAAAGACATTCTATCTAAGAGATCACTGGCTATACACACTGGCCACTTTATCAGAAACCCCTCCCTTTAAGCTCCACCTTTGTTGAACGATGCACAGTTTAAACTCCCAACCCAGCAGTGACAAAGACACGAGAAAACCTAAGCAACACATCAGTGTACTTTCTAGAAACTGTATATCAACATCAATAAATATATATATATATATATATATATATAATACATATATATATATATATATATATATATACACACACACACTTTTAATTTATATCAAAGTTCATTCACTCTAAACTTTGAACATTGTCATATATTATATTATATTATATATTATTGAATATTTTGAAAATGGAATGAACACTGTTCAAGTATACGGAATAAACATTTTATAAATGGTAGTGTTCCTTAGTGTTTATCCCAATGTTCCATCCATGTATATATATTAACGTTGATTCGGTATATCAAAGTTCATTTTATATATATCAATGTGTAAATATAAATATATATACATAAACTCAAAGACTGAAGATGGTTTTGAGAAGAACGAGCCAAACTGATCCACACTGCTGCCACACGTTAATTACTTCTTACTGCAGATGTCTCTAAGTTGTAACTGCCAACAAAGGTTTTGCAACAAAGTATTAATATTAATAATATGTGTGCTTTTGAACATTTCTTTGTTTATGCTTATAAATACATCCTTTTTTGGTCCCCGTTTGTAAGAACAAAGCCAAAAGAAAAACAAAGGTGTGTGAATACTTGTTTCATGTTTGAAGGGGAGTTTTCTAGTAAACACACCAGAACACGTGCTGCATTACCAGATTCTGTGATCATGATGTTGTCGTTGTGGCGGTCACCGATCCCCAGGACGTATGTAGCCACACAGTAGCCTCCACAGGAGTACACAAAGCGCTCCACTGCCTGCTGATACTGTGGGGGGGGGACGGGAGGGGGGGGCAGAATCACAATGCCTTTTTTCATTACACATATTTGCATTATGCAAACACAGTCATGCAAACTGGTGAGGCAAACACTGTCCATCTCACGTTCAGTATCACTGGTGTGTGCCGCCCATCAGCGAGCAGGTCTGATCAGACGTCTGACGGTTCTAAAACCGAACGCTGCAGCTCAGACACAGACGCTGCTGAACCAGGAAGTGCGCCTGCAGGCGTTTCCTCCCCCCCTACGCAACACGCAACATCCTCCAACGGAAATAACATACCTTGTCCTCATTTACGCACTTGTCTCGCAGCCACTGGTTCAGGATCTCGTCTTTAAAAGCGCCAGTGTTCCCCACAGTGCTCTGCTGGATGTTAGCAATGGTGGTGGCATCCTTCACTATCTCAATCATCCCTAATAGGGAGGATCAAACATTCATTTGGCTCGTTATACAGAGATTATCACTGTAAAAACCCTTAGGAGTGACGCGGAAATCAGTTCATCAGTGTTGACGTACAAAAATCGGGTCTGATTACATTCTTTGTTGATTGAAAATAAGTTCCTCTACAGAGCACTTTTGGCATTTTGATGCACAATTTCTATTTATTTGCTGCATTTAACATAGTGGGGGTAAAAAAGTCCAATAAAAAGTGTGCCATAACTTTTACACAGGCCAGAATTTAGTTTTACGGGTCATTCTACAGAAATGTCCGCTTTGTTATCTCTCCATAGGAGTCACTGGTGTTACTGATCCTCACTGGTGTTCCACATAATAAAGGAACACCAGAGACATTTTTAATGAAACATGCATTTCACCAAACGGCTGCTACAGAGCATCAAACCACATGTCAGTCATGGAAAATCCACTAAAATATGGAATTTAATCCATTTGTATTCTATTTTTTCACAGTTACCTCAGAATAAAGTCGGTCACACCAGTGACTTCAGCTAAAAGCTTCATATGAAACTATGAGCTAAATGAGAAAATATCTGATAACTGAGAGACACAGTGGACTCACCATGAGCTTTTCTTCATAGATCCTCAGAAAACAGGTAAAAGGAAGTCGAGTGATGTCATCAGTGTGACTTTTATTTCAAAATAAGAGATTTTTTGTTACGCAGTAACACCAGTGACACGACTCCTGGGGAACTTTCATTATATATTTTATATTTATTTGGCATTTGTTTTCTTTGTCATTTAATTTATATATTCCATAGTCATGTATAGATTATTGTAGTTAAAATTGCAGAAAAAAAAACATTTTTTTTACCTCAAAATATGGCCTCAGCCTTCACACATGACTGTGGGGACAAGCTCTTCTGTGGTGATTGGAATTCAATATGATTGATTTAAAAACTAATATTGCTGAATTGAGGCTCAAGAAGGTGTAACTGTTAAAATAACTTATTGTTTTATTTTAAAATATAAATAAATTGTAACCCTAACATGTTTTTTAAGTGTAATATATCTGTAAAAGCTAGGGACACAAAAATGGACGTTTCTGTAGAATGACTCATTTATGTATTTTTCCCCAATATGTTAAATTCAGCAACTAAAAATTAATTGTGCATTTAAAAGTAGAGGATGAGTAATTAATTTCACAAAAAAACATGAAAATAAGGAAATCACAAGAAAACAGGTCCAGTAACGGAATGACACTTTTGCACACGACTCTTACCAATTTTGTTTCCGGTGGAAATGCAACCGTAAGGCAATAAGGACAGATCTAACGACTCCGTCTCCCAAATAGACTCCATAATTAACAAAATCTGCGTTTAAAAACAGAGAATGTTAACATGAGAGCAAGAAGATTTCAAAGCAAAGTTAGAATTAGTGGTCAAAACGGAGCAAAATACACATTATATCTCCTAACAACAGCAACAGTGTGTAAACCAGGGCTGAATGATTTAGAGAAAATATCTAACTGCGATTTTCTGATTAATGTTACGACAATAATGTAAATTGTGATTATTTTCTATAAATGAAGGTTATAGGTTACTCAATAAGGTCCAGTTAGAGAAAATGTCCTCAAGCAAAGGTCCAGAACATCATAATGTCTAACTTGTATTATGATTCAGTGCCATATACTGTTTACTGAAGTAGCCTAGTAGGTATATCAACATCTTACACAGTGAACGAATGAATATCAAATCAAATAAAGTCCAGTTCAGTCATATTTCAACAACATTTATCGTCAGTTTCCTCTTTTTAGACCACAACATGTAAAATAACCCTCTGACTCACTTTCTTCTCCGACTGCTGTGTCTCGCCTCGTCCCTCCCCTGTGTGTGCGTCACTCACTCGAGTCTCAGCGCTCATTGTAATGCACAGATCTGATTGGCTGAGTAGCGTCACGTGTGATATTTACAATGCATGTGATTGGTCTGAGAGTCTCCCGGGCCGCTAAAGCTACCGTAAAGGCTAGAAAAGCTACACTGATTAAAACAGGACCACCCCATCAAAATTAAATAATTCTCCATAGTTTATTGGTTATAGGTCCAGGTCCGCATAGGACAGCGTTGGGATCCAGACTCAGACCGCGGCCCGCCTATTAGTGACCTCTGGTCTCCAGGCTAGAAGCTCTGTGTTATCAGGTTAAATTTCTGCACTTACACTTAAGACGACGGTTTTGATAATGCAGATCATAATTAAAGCAATTGCAGCTCTTGTGATTTAAAAAATTGCACTGTGTTAAACTGCAATTTTGATATAAAAACAATCTTTCATGTCTACACTCTTAAAACTGATGGTTCTTCAAGGGTTCTTTAGTAAAGAAAATGGTTTCATATAGAACCATGAAGAACCATCATTTTGATGATATCCACCATGTGATCAGAAAAGCATACTGTGATGTAATGTATCACAATAAGGATCTATATCGTCATATTGCCCAGCCCTCATCAGGGTGTAGCTTTCTAATGAATTATTGCCAAAAGGGTTCTTTGGAGTCACAGAAGAAGCACTTTTGGTTCCCTAAAGAACCCTTCTTAAACAGCTCAGGTGAAAGGGCGATTAAGGAACAAAAACTAGCTCTTCTGTTTTGTCTTCTATGGCAGAACCCTCGAAGAACCATCTTTTTTGTGTAGTGTGAGAACACAAGGTGTATAGAGCTCTCCTTTCTCATGAACACTGTCACCTGCAGTATTAACATGTCCTGGCGGAGGTCGTCTCCGTCCTTGAAGATCACCCCGATGGTGTCGCTGGATAAAGTGGTGGGGTCGGCTCGCTTAAACTGCAGCCACAGCGGTTTCTTCTTGGATGCCATCACTTTACACTGTTCAATCTAGAAACATAAACAGTTTCACCGAAGGGAAACAAACGCCGGCGTGTGCTGGTATCGTCCACTTCTCTGGCCTGAGTTACACTTAAAACATCTGAGTTGTTCTTTTTACTAAAAATGATCATAATTAATTTTTACATTTCTCAAAACCTCTCTAAACTGCTGTAGACTGAATGGGTGGAGCTAAACTGCTGTAGACTGAATGGGTGGAGCTAAACTGCTGTAGACTGAATGGGTGGAGCTAAACTGCTGTAGCTGAATGGTGGAGCTAAACTGCTGTAGCTGAATGGTGGAGCTAAACTGCTGTAGACTGAATGGGTGGAGCTAAACTGCTGTAGACTGAATGGGTGGAGCTAAACTGCTGTAGCTGAATGGTGGAGCTAAACTGCTGTAGCTGAATGGTGGAGCTAAACTGCTGTAGCTGAATGGTGGAGCTAAACTGCTGTAGCTGAATGGTGGGGCTAAACTGCTGTAGCTGAATGGTGGGGCTAAACTGCTGTAGACTGAATGGTGGGGCTAAACTGCTGTAGACTGAATGGTGGGGCTAAACTGCTGTAGACTGAATGGTGGGGCTAAACTGCTGTAACTGAATGGTGGGGCTAAACTGCTGTAGACTGAATGGGGGGGCTAAACTGCTGTAGCTGAATGGTGGGGCTAAACTGCTGTAACTGAATGGTGGGGCTAAACTGCTGTAGACTGAATGGGTGGAGCTAAACTGCTGTAGACTGAATGGTGGAGCTAAACTGCTGTAGACTGAATGGTGGAGCTAAACTGCTGTAGCTGAATGGTGGAGCTAAACTGCTGTAGACTGAATGGTGGGGCTAAACTGCTGTAGCTGAATGGTGGAGCTAAACTGCTGTAGACTGAATGGTGGAGCTAAACTGCTGTAGACTGAATGGTGGAGCTAAACTGCTGTAGACTGAATGGTGGAGCTAAACTGCTGTAGCTGAATGGTGGAGCTAAACTGCTGTAGACTGAATGGTGGAGCTAAACTGCTGTAGACTGAATGGTGGAGCTAAACTGCTGTAGCTGAATGGTGGAGCTAAACTGCTGTAGCTGAATGGTGGGGCTAAACTGCTGTAGACTGAATGGTGGAGCTAAACTGCTGTAGCTGAATGGGCGGGGCTAAACTGCTGTAGACTGAATGGTGGAGCTAAACTGCTGTAGCTGAATGGGTGGAGCTAAACTGCTGTAGGCAGAATGGGTGGGGCTAAACTGCTGTAGGCTGAATGGGTGGAGCTAAACTGCTGTAGGCTGAATGGGTGGGGCTAAACTGCTGTAAGCTGAATGGTGGAGCTAAACTGCTGTAGCTGAATGGTGGGGCTAAACTGCTGTAGCTGAATGGTGGGGCTAAACTGCTGTAGACTGAATGGTGGAGCTAAACTGCTGTAGCTGAATGGGCGGGGCTAAACTGCTGTAGACTGAATGGTGGAGCTAAACTGCTGTAGCTGAATGGGTGGAGCTAAACTGCTGTAGGCTGAATGGGTGGGGCTAAACTGCTGTAGGCTGAATGGGTGGGGCTAAACTGCTATAGACTGAATGGTGGAGCTAAACTGCTGTAGCTGAATGGTGGAGCTAAACTGCTGTAGCTGAATGGTGGGGCTAAACTGCTGTAGCTGAATGGTGGAGCTAAACTGCTGTAGCTGAATGGTGGGGCTAAACTGCTGTAGACTGAATGGGTGGAGCTAAACTGCTGTAGACTGAATGGTGGAGCTAAACTGCTGTAGACTGAATGGTGGAGCTAAACTGCTGTAGACTGAATGGGTGGAGCTAAACTGCTGTAGACTGAATGGTGGAGCTAAACTGCTGTAGACTGAATGGTGGAGCTAAACTGCTGTAGACTGAATGGTGGAGCTAAACTGCTGTAGCTGAATGGGCGGGGCTAAACTGCTGTAGCTGAATGGGTGGAGCTAAACTGCTGTAGGCTGAATGGGTGGGGCTAAACTGCTGTAGGCTGAATGGGTGGGGCTAAACTGCTGTAAGCTGAATGGGTGGGGCTAAACTGCTGTAAGATGAATGGGTGGGGCTAAACTGCTGTAGGCTGAATGGGTGGGGCTAAACTGCTGTAGGCTGAATGGGTGGGGCTAAACTGCTGTAGGCTGAATGGGTGGGGCTAAACTGCTGTAGGCTGAATGGGTGGGGCTGTATGTACTGAGTTTATAACTGTGTGATATAGACCCTTTCAGTGCCAGTAAAAGAGAGGATTACCTCTTTATTTGTAAACTTATATTATCTATCACAGTATTGATCTTATATTAGGAAGGGAGGCCATCACAAGCTGTCAATAACAGCAGGACTATAAAGGCTGTGTTCTACTCACCACCAGCGCTCCTGCCCGCAGGCCCGGGTCGAACGGCACTTTAAAGCTCTCCGGCAGGCCGGACATCTGCAGAGTCTCCAGCTTCTGACGCAGCTGAAGAACAACTGCAATGTTTGCACTGGATTAGACACTCGATTCTGCTGGGATGTGATGCAATAAGAACAGATGTGGGTGTGCCGCTACCTTGCGCCGATACGTCGTATTTCTCAGCAGACACGGCCTTGATCTCACGCGTGACCTTCTGCAGCGCCTCTGTGATCTCCACCTGCTTACTGAAGTCCTGCAGCATCGCCTCTCCACAGCCGCGCAGGTAGGCCTCCAAAATAACTGCGTACCTCTGCTGATAGTGCATCGACTGAGCTATCTCGCTCCTCAGGAACCAGAACAAGAAATGGCCAATCCGCTTACTCTGAGAAGAGAGAGGAGAGCAGGACGACCGAACACATTAAAGGGCCCACAGCCTTCACTTCTCCTTTACGTTTCCTGGACTCAAATCTAGTTTGGTTGAGGGGCTCTTTGGAGAGGAGGAGTATAAACATCAAAGCAATCAGGACAACTCCACAGCTTTTTTTTAATAATTAAAAAGCCTTAATTGGTCTCATTAAACCTTTGTAAAACTCAGTCAAAAAAATCCGTGATGAAGTTTTTAAAGGTTTAATCTGACCATGCCATGACAATACAGGCTTTTTAATTGTTTTAAAAAAGAGAGTGCTTTGGTGTTTTCCTCAATTTTTTATATTTAGGTACACTGCAAAAAATTATATCTTAACAAGAGAAATCATCTTAAATGTAGTCTAAATATCTAATATTTCTCATTTTGAGGTGGTTGTGTGAATATTATAAGATTATTTAACTTATTTCTAGATATTTTTACTTGTTATAATATATAAGTAATTTTATGGAGTAAAATGATTTCACTATAGAGACAGATAATTTTGCTAGTTTCAAGCACATTTCTTAAAATAAGCAAAATTATCTGCCACTATAGTGAGATCATTTTACTAGATAAAATTACTCAAAACACAAAACAAGTCTAGAAATACGTTAATCTTAAAATAAGCTTACAGCAATCTAAACATGAAGAATATTAGATACATCGACTAGATTTAAGATCATTTCACTTGCCAAGACATCAAAAACAGCCTTAGTTCATTTTGACTTCTCTGTATCTCTTAGAATTAAACAGGCTGTTTTTGTTACTGTGCCTTTAAGACGGATATGTAAACGATCTCCGTTCTGATTGGCTACCTTCATTCACAAAGCAGTCCACAGTGAAGCACTTCTTATGACTTCAGTGTGAGTGGGAGGGGCTAAACCGCTGTTTAGACAGACGTATGTAAATGCGCTGCTTTTTATGACATCACAAAAACAATTAATGTAAAACTGGATGTGTATATAACTTTCATATATCACAAACTTAAAGATGGATCTTCAAGGGTTCTTTAGTAAAGGCAATGGTTCCATATAGAATTTAGAATTTCATGCTTAAATACTTCTTTGTATGGTGAAATAGATCTTTAGACTGATGAAGGATGTATGTAGTTCTATATAGAATCTAGCACCAAAAAGGGTTCATTTACCGTGTACAACCTTGACATCGTAATCCTTTTGGTTTATATAGAACCATATGCAACACATTCTCCATCAATCTGAACTATTTTACCATGCAGCCACATTAATGAATGCAAAGAACCATTTAAGCATGAAATGGTTCTATACAGAACTCATGGTACTAAACAGAACCACTGCCTTTACTAAAGAACCCTTAAAGAACCATCTTTTTAAGTGTGTACACTGTAAAAAATGGCTCTTAAGATCAACCTAAAAAATACTTTTTTAAACTAACATTTTAAGTTTAATTCAACTCAAAGAATTACATCGACTGAAAGAATCGTTCATGTAAAGTATTTATTTGGGATGAATAAATCTAGTTAATTTACCACATGAAGTCATTTTTTTAGGTTGATCTGACGAGACAGTTTTACATTGTACATCAAAGACGATCAAAGAAGTGAGGAAGATCTGATTTTCCTTTAATATCGCTGTGCTGAGTCTGGACTCACCCTGAGAGCGCGCTTCAGCAGGAACCTGGCGAGTGCGCTGTCATGATAGGGCTCAAACTTCACCGCCTGCAGGAGATTCAGGACCAAACATGAGACTGAACGGCCTTCAAACTTCACTAAATGTTTTACAGTTGTTTCTTTCGCAACGTTCACATTGTTTACGCTGTCAGAACAAAACCTGGTGTCTATTTATTTATTTATTTATTCATTTATCTATTTATTATTATTATTATTTTAAACTTAGACACAAGCTGGCCTTAACAATGTTTTAAATTTCATGATGAATGGAGCAGCAGACATGGTCTAAAAAAGATTGGGCCTCACTCACCAAACGTTCTAAAGAAGAAATTTCTTACTCAGTTTTGAGGAAGACTCTGACTCACCAGTGTCTCTTATGTGGGATTTGTTCTTAGGTAAGAACAGAATCTACACACTCGAGAGCACAAAGGAGAGAACAGTTCTGCGCTTTAAGAACACGACATGAATCTGATGGAGACTTTTTCTCAGAAACCTTCTCAAGAACACACTTAAGAACAATCTTAAGAAGGTATCGGAGAACAAGGCCCAGTGTTCCCTTAATTTTAAGTTAAATTTAAGTATATTTTTTCATTTGGGTGAATCGAGATTTTGCTCCAACAGCACCAGACTAAGCACGATAGGCACAGTGCAGAAGATAAACTTGGGTTTTAAAGATTAAAAATATTGCCAAGTGTTCCTTAAACTGATTTGGGAATTTGAATAGTCAACAAAGGCCTCTTTGTTTATCTCAAAGTGACAGTTTGTTCAACATTAAATATGCAAACTAGGGCAGCTGACTAGCATTTTACAGCCTTCGAATACCTGCTGGCATTTCTGAACGAGTACTTGAAAACCTGCTCTCATAAAAACTCTTAACAACAATAAGATGTACATTTCATAATTAACCATAATTTTGAGCATGTTTGTTACCGCAGTTCAAAACGTATCCAGTGGGTGGCGGCAGTGTTCAGGCTGACGCCCAGCTGCAGCAGACCACATAATCGCTGTCCAAAGAAAAATACGCATCTCCGAAATGGTAACTTTACAGAAGAGGGTAAAACACTCTTAACTTTTAGTGTAAGCTGACGTAAAGAGAACTTAATCCAAGTGATTGATTTTTATTGGTCCATTCATCATGAAATTTCCACACAATGTAAAAGCAAACCGTCGTGTTCAAATTATTCAGAAAAATAAAAACAAAAATGGAGACGTTTTTCTTTGGACAGTGATGATATGCTGCTATGATAGAATCCAGGACTGATGTGCTCATTAAAATGTGGCCATTATAAGTCAATTCTATCACTTGTATATCATTTCTGAGTCGAGTCAAGTCAAAGATTACTTATATAGCACTTTTTACAACAGGTGCAAACCAACTTCAAAGAAAAACCCGGGTCTGAGCCCCCATGAGCGTCGCCAATGGCGACAGTGGTAAGAAAAGCTCCCTAAAAGCAAGAGGAAGGAACACTGAGAGGAACCAAGACTCAAAAGTGGAAGCCATCCTCCTCTGGTCGACACTGGACAGCAAACAATAAGACAAGAGCAACATGAACAGAGATTTTACTCTTTTTAATGGTTTTAAATGTTTTAACGGTACCCAGTGGTAGCATATATATTGTGAATAATAGAGGCCCTAAAACAGAGCCTTGTGGAACACCATACTTCACTCATTTGCTTTTATTTTATTTGGCTTGTTCACTGTTTTTGTTCATCATGGAAAGCAGCAGTGAGGCTGAGCTGAGCTCAGTCATGTGATTCTCAGTCTGTCGCCAAAACGGTCGGTGGCTAGAGTGGCTAAAGGTAACCCACAACGACAATGTGCTCCTTCACCTCCTTCAGCACAGCCAAGACTCACCACAACAAACTAATGCTCTCACAATACTGAAAATTAGGACACTTCAATACGATACTTCAAAATATAATGAAATTCAAAACCATTTTTCATTACAAAGGCAGATAAAATTGAGGGCCTGTAACTTTTTTTTAGATACACATCCAAATAAACCTAAAATTTCTCTTACGACAATGAGTACTCACACCAAATGCAATAATATAAAACATGAAACACGTCAAGTGTATGTTTGTATTTAGTAGTTTAGTCGAAACTAAAGTGAGGCTCATTTTCACATGAGCATATCATTAGTGCATCATTAATAACTTGGTGTTTTAACCGTCGTATTGTGTTTTAAATGTTAATTCAGTACCGACTCAGCTTAATTTCACTACTTAGCCTCCTGATAAGCTGATTTAGGCTCTCAAAATATCCTAATTATTCTTTTAATGCTGGTAACATTTTCTGAGAAGGACATTTAGACTATTAAAATATCCTACCTGCAGTTTGAACATGAGGCTGAAGTAGGCTTGTTATCCGCCAGCTTCTTGATTGAATTTTCCCATTCCACCTTAAATGGTTCAGCAATTACATTCTGGTGCCACTATTTAAGGTAGAATCGGAAACTTTGAACAAGAAGCTGGCAAATAGAAAGGTACCTTCAGCTTCGTAGTTTTAATGCTGGTAGTATTTTTTGATAAGGAGATTTAAGCTATAAAAATATCCTACCTAGAGTTTTATGTACAAAGTTTGGTGAGATCTGATTGACTTGTGTTAGCACTTTTAGTTGGAACTGTTCTAAAGCATCATTTGCATAGTGGCGTGCTCATCTCCTTGCCTTTTCATCCTTATTTGCTTCAAAGCTAAAGTATGTCCCTACAGCACTGCTGTTGTTTTCTAGTAGTGCTCACAAAGGCTGCAAACTCACTGCAGCTGCTATTTTAGCATAAACCACAGCACTATGAAGACCTCCTCACTAATATAAATATAAACATTATAAACAGTATTGATACTGCAGGAAATGAGTATTGTACCATTTCAAAATGTTCAGTATCGATATGTTTTGAAATATCTATATTTTTGACACACTTATAAATGATGGTTCTTTTGGGGTTCTTTAGTAAAGAAAATGGTTCTATATAGAACCATGAACACTCAAAGAACCCTTTGAATGAATAAAGGGTTCTTTGCATCATGAAATCTTCAGATTGATGGAGAATGTGCTGGTGGTTCTATATAGAACCTTTTTGAGAGGGGTTCTATAAGGCTCCAAGAAGGGTTCTTCTATTGTTATGGTGTCAAGCTTGTACCAATAGAAGAACACTTTTGGTGCTATATAGAACCTTTTTCAAAAAAAGGGTTTATACAGAACCATCTACAGCACATTTCACCATGTAAAGAACCTTTTAATCATGAAAAGGATTCTTTTAGCATTCATGGTTCTATATAGAATCGTTCTCTTTACTAAAGAACTGTGGAAGAACCATCATTTTTAAATGTGTACAATAAACATGTTTGAGGCTCTGAGCTCCTGAGTTTTAGTGTCACCAGAACCTCGTAATACTCTGATAAATACTGATATACTTACGTATTTGAAATGATTCACCAAAAAATGTATATTACAGAAGCAAATCTTATATAAATTTAGGAATTATATCTTATAGCATCTTATGTCAAGTTAGGAAATCCTAAACTATTTAATCAAGGTCTAATCAACTGTTAGGTCTGTTACCAAGCAACCAACGATACGCATGGTAAACACATAATGAAAATTGTGTTAAAATTGTTAAAAGTTAGTTTGCTAGTTAGATTTTTAACAGCGAGTCGCCACTCCACAGTTTCAGATACCTTTTAGCCAGCCACGCTAACGTTACTCCTCCTAATAAACAAACAGATGTTCATGTTCCACAAGTTCCACTGTCTCATTATTTACCGCCATCATTACAAAATTTTATTAACGTATTATATTTTATGTTAGTTTTCATCAACATTAACATGTACAGGTAACGAGAGGGAACGCTGTCCGGGACGTTTTAATCACAGAGTTCAAAACAAACAACACTCTTACGAGCGAAACGACTGCAATATGAGTAATGCTAGTTATAGTGAACTTGTTTTGCTGTTATTCACAGTGTCCTAAAACTGAACTGAGTAGCTTGAGGCCTTTACACTCCGAACATGGTTTATTTTGTGCGATTTACACACCAAACATTATTTTTCAGACAGCGAAAATTCAACATTGGTTTATTCACCCTCTGTTCGATTTTTGCAAATTTTCAACAGTGACCAAAAACTCACTGACCAATCACGGTCGTCTCTGCTGTTGCCATAATGAAGCCGAGATGACGGAGCAGCTGTGTTCCAGCAAACAGAACTTTTTTACACATGCTACAAGGATCAGAATCTCCGCAGCTCAAACTGAGCTACGAACATCCAGTTAAATGTGGAAGAACTCAACGTTTCAGCTTCTGAACAAAGTGACGAAGCTTTTCACACTGCTCACTTTTCCTAAAGGGACAGTAGCCCAATGTCACTGTTTAACAAAGAGCAAAGAATCAGATCTTATTTGCACTTAAAGACATTCAGCCTTTGTTTTGTGCTTCGTCTTGTGTGGAGCTGCGTCTCCAAAATCAGCTCAGACTCAGCTGAGATCCCAGCTGTGAGTGAAAGAGCTTGTACAGTTTCAGCTCCTGAATGAGGAGAAACTCCTTCTGACGTTTCAAAAGTGGAACATCCTGCACGCTGTCATAGTTTGCCTGTTTCGTGAGGAGCAATGGACCTTTTTTGATATAGATAATATATTCTACCCATATAAATATATGCGAAAAACATCACAAAATTACAAAAAAATTATGTTGCATCCGGGTGTGTACAGTTTGATAGATTTTGAATATTTTGCCTTGTCATGTCATTTTTGCATAGAAATGGAAGGTCAAAACAGAAATTAAACACGGTTGGGGTTCATCCTAAGAAGTTAGGACAATATTTAGAAAATGTTGTCAAGTTATAATGCTTCTGAAATACTGTTTCCTTACCTAGCGTCAAGATAATACACTTACAAACTCATTCTGTAATAGCTGCTGTCCTAAATATTGTTCTAACTGAATTTGTCATGGTGACTAAACAGATAAGACTTCAGAGATAGGATGCTTCTGTAATATGGCCCCTGCTCTGTTTTAGCTAAATGTCCATGTGGAAAGCAAAGCTTATAAATGCTAAATAGAGAACCAAACACCAACATGGCGTATAATTTCTGCAGTGTCCAAATTTTTCTGGCCAGCACTTATGCAAACCCAAGGAGGACATAGGACAAGTCACAAGACCTACCTGAACCAGCTGCAAAAGGTATCGTAGGACATCGTCGTCACCAAGAGTTTCCAACTTTCTGACAGCCATAGTGCGCACATTTGCGTCAGAAAAGTGGCAATCCAACAGCTGCATGGCTAAGCCCACATCAAGAGCGCTACGGTCCCATGTGGTGCTCCTCTCCAGTAGCTGATGCGTGGCCATCACAGCTTCCTGTTTTCCCCACTTCACAGAGCCAAGGAACTTTGGGTAGGCCGTGGGATGCCGCATGCACTCCTGCCTGAAATGCCAGAGGAGCTCCTTGTCTTCGGAACTTAGCGGATGCAGAGGGTCGGTGGCCACTATCTGCTCGAACTGCTTGCGCAAGTGATTCGGCATCTCTCTTTTGCCTCTCTCGCCCTCCATTTCGGAGGCATCTCGAGGATCCCTGCTCTTAGGTAGAGCAACAGGGTAGCAATACTTGTCCAGGAGCACCGCGATGGCCATGGAACTCGTTTTGTCTGGATTGGTGGCCGAAGTAAGCTTGTCTGCGTTCACGCTGCTGTTGTCCTCACTTTTCTCTGGCATCTTCCACATGTGCAGGATGAACTCTCCCTGTCTGAGCAGGGATCTGTGGTCCACCACTAGCAGGTTAACATAGTAGAGCAGGCGGCTCTTGTTTTTGCAGTCGTGCGTGCCGCTGTCCCGGGAGGTCTGGGTTTGCCCCTTGCTACACAACACTTGAAGATTCAGCCGGGCACCTTTGGGCAAGTCCTTAATCTTGATGTTGAACTCTAGCCAAGTATTCCACAGCACCTCCTCAGTGAAGGGCTTGGGAGACGTCCTCTCCTGAGCCAGCAACTGCTGCCCATGGAAAATGCTGGCCTCCACAAACACAATCAGCTCTGAATTGCGAGGCAGAACTGGGATGTCAATGCCCAAGATTTTGACTCTGAACTTGCGGTTGCAGTCCCAGAGTGAGATGGTGAACACCTTCTCATGGTCTTTCTCATCAATGGTCAGTTGTTCATGGGTGCCAGCCACTCCGGTGCAGTCGTCCACCTGGGACCAGTCCTCCTTCTGGACCCCATCTTGTTCTGGGTTCGGAGGGGGTTCGAGCACCAAATGGATCTCTTCTCCAATTTTGAGGCATTGCCTGATCCAGTGGAAGTCTTTGATGGCATAGTTTCCGTAAATATATTCTTCTCTTCCGCAGACTCTGAGAACGAAATCGGATTCGTTGACCTCCTCTGGAATACCGAGGAGTGCCCTCTTGTTGGCGATCTTCGTGAAGAAACTCTGTAGTACCTGAACAGGTGTGTCATCTATGGATACCTTTATTGTCTGACTAGAGGTATATACATGTATCACGAGCAGGATGTAATTGTTTGTGATCTTGCTGAGCAAGTAATCAGGCAAAGATTTTGTGGTTATCCAAGGATCCATTGAGTAAAGTTTGGGGTCTCTGTCGGCCAGCTCGATTTTTCGGGGCGTAAGTAACTTCCTTCTCGTGAACTCCAGCTCATCATCATGGACATTGCTGACATCCGTGACGTCGTATCCTATAAGATGATTCAGAAACTTCTGGTACTGGACGGATTCATCGGAAGGTTGGGGCCTCGGGACCACATGAATTTTTCCAACATCCTTCTTCAGGGCTTTCCAGTAGCGAATGCAATCAAGGGTTTGGAACACCTGGTGCTTATCATAGATCTCACACCAGCTGCCCTTCTTTTGGTAGAGCAGGACGCAGTGGTCGGGCGAGTACTTCTGGTAGAATTCGGGGCACAGGTTGGTTGTGACGGCCCTCAGCCACAGCTGGGCTTTTACCTGCTCGACAGTCCAGTTCCCGACCACGTCCAGCTGCAGCGAGTCAGGGCTCTTGGTTGCCTTGTTTGTGGTTGGAAGCACAAACTCCATTGCTAAGTGATCCATTGCCACAGACGAAGCTGATGTAAAAGCTTTCATTTTTCTTCTCCTCCTCTTGTTTTCCTCTCTGTGAACTACTGGCGGTTCATCATCACTAATGTGCTGCTCCATAACCAACACTGCAACCAGACAACAATTAAAATAGTCATCAGTACACCTGAATAGTTCAACTCGCAGGTTTTAATCTTGCGCAAAACACTTCAGCACTTCAGTTCTGGACTAAAATTAAGGCTCCTTCTGTGCAAAAACATTGGATGTTGTTTAAAGCTGGGGGTGCTGAAATATTTAGCTGCAATGTGACGTCACGCTTTTTTTTCGTCTCTCTAACTAGACGAAATGTATGCAAATGTGCGTCAACCAATCAGACTGTTAATATGAGGCACTTGTGTTGCCTGGAGTCAAGCTACATGCACCCATCTAGCAGGAGATTATTAAAATAGTTTAATTTGCGCTGTGTCCCAAATGTGCACTTAATACTAATACTAACTAGCATTTGAGTATGTAGTATGTAGTATAGTCACACGTGTGAAAGTTGAGTATACTCAAAAATCCACAATGCATACTTAGAACCGGTTGATTTTTGAGTATAGTAATGATGGACACTATTGTCCCACAGTCGAACGGGAAACGGAAAGGGAGGAGCTTCTCGTGTCTGGAAAATTCTGGAAAAATGTTGGGCGGCGACGCGAGAGCAGCTGCGGTGGTAGCGGCACCAGAAATGGCGTATAAATGTAGTTCATCCCAAATTTGTAAAACATTCTGTAAAAACACAGACGTGTTACACTTACTGACGTTTCCATTTGTCAGGGTTTCTGTAGGAAATTTGTTTGTGGACGCACGTTAAGTTGTTAGCCAGCCTTCAGAGGCTAGCTTGCTATGATGTGCGTTGTCATAGCAACGGTTCGTCACTTCCTGTTAGTAAGAATGGTGTGGTATGTTAATATTTTGTGTACTAACCTGTTGAGCTCATACTATTAAGATCAGTCCGCAGTATATACCGTACGGTATTAGTGTGTAGTACACAATTGGGATGCAGCCTTGAAGTTTAGGCTGTTTTAAGGCACAGAAATAGATGTCGACTCCCGCCCGTGTTTAAGAGAGACGCCCCCAAAGATAAGCCAACAGCTGGAGAGGGACGCGATTCCCTTCATCTAAAATTCAGCTTCATTGTTATCTTGACTTGTGATCAACTAACGCAGATTTTAAAAAGAGTTCTATATAGCATTAAGAAGTGTTCTGTCGTATCCAACCCTTTTTGGTGCTACACAGAACCAATCTAAAGAACCATTTCAGCATACAAAGAACCCTCTAATCATGCAAACCATCTTTTTAATACATTACAGATTAAATGTGGTTAATATATCTAATATTTCTTGTTTTGAGAAATATTGTACGATTATTTCACTCATTTCTATACACTTTTTACTTGATTTAAGTAATTTTATCTTATGAAAGTGTCTGTTCATTGGAAGATCATTTTGCTTGTTTTAAACATTAGTTCTTGAAATCAGCAAAATTGTTAATTATTTCTCAAAACAAGAAATGATCTGTGACTTTTGCTAGATAAAATTACTTAAACAAGTAAAAATGTACAGAAACTGGTGGAATAATCTTATAATATTCTTACAACCGTCTCATAATGAGAAATATTAGATATATTAACTACATTTAAGATGTTTTCACTTTCTAAGATATCATTTTTTGCACTGCAATCCTCAAACTTAAGCTTATGTTATCCAGTTTACTGAGAAACCCTGCTTTGTGAAATGCAGCCTGTTCTTTTGTTATTGTTCTGTTATTGTTTTTTTAGCAGTTGCAGATAAATAATCCTGAAATTTAAGCATCTCTGCCACTATGTTTACGGCTGTGACGCTCTGAGCCGAAGCTCACTATTAAAAGAGTACAATTTCAAAATTTCCCCTATAACTCAGTGTGTGAGATGTAAACAGAGAGATTCAGAGTGGTTTGGTGTGAAATGGTTCAGATGTCTTTACAGTGGTGGTGATAGGAACCAGGGGTCGCCATGACTACAACACAAATATAGACATTTTATTTACTATCCAGAACCACCAGTGAACCTACACGAGTCTTCTGAGTTTATATGGAATGTTGATGATGGAAATAGTGGAAAATCTGAAATAATAAGTTTTCTTTGGGGACTATTTTGCCTCACAGCGCCCTGCATGTATCCCTCCACCATGAATGGAGTTTAAGTTCTCTAAACTATCATAAAACAGTGTCTCAGTCATCAGGCAGTGAATTCATAACCATTTCATGTAGGAACTTTCTGAAATCTGAGTCTCTACAATGAACCATTTTACACCAAACCACTCCGACTGACTCTGTTTACATCTCACACACTGAGCTACGCAGATCAATGGAATTCCCCTTTATGAATATTATTATTATTTATTGAAATGTACACACCTTTATCCCAAAAGGCTGAGCTCCATGACACCTCCCTCGTGGTAAGAGGATGCGGTGTGATGGGAGTTTCCTGCACGAGTTTCGAAGCAGTGAAAATGTATTAAAAAAGAGGATGCTGTAAATTTACAGCCCTTCATGCTGTATTGAAAAGGAAGTGGCCAGAACAGGAAGCACTATAAATGTCAGTGGGCAATGCCCTCCTAACATCCTAACAACACTGAGGAAAGAAATTTAGTAATGCACGAAATACCTGATTAAAAAAAAAACAACACAAAACAAAAACACTACCTAACAACTGAATTTCCCCGTTCCACCTTAAATGGTGCAGCAGTTACGCGCAGTTTCAGGCGCCAGAATGTAACTGCTGCACCATTTAAGGTGGAACGGAACAATTCTGAAAATGAGCTGCGAACAGAAGCTGGTCAGATGAACTGAGCCCCTCAGTGCTGCCGAACTCCTATCATAACGGTTCTCGTCTCTCGGTTGCGAAACTATTTAATTAATTATTTAACTTCGTTTCAGGAAACTCACCGTTCAGCGAACACAGAGCCGGTTCTGCTCCACGGTCGGCTCGGACGGACTGAGAGACATTGAAGCAGAGAAACGCCGTTTACTCCCAATGATGTTAGAAAAGCGGCGCGTCTTTCTGAACTTTTTCCCCTCAAAAAATAACAAATAAACGCTGAGCTGTCACAGCAGCGCTGCTCTCAGCCGCCCCGCCCTTCAC